CCAGTTGATTGCCGCCGTTATCGCCCTGGAATGACAGGATGCGGCCAATTGCAGGGCCACGGCCAATGCTGCACAGATTACGCAACGTCAACGTCAATTAAATCAGTTTTACTCCAAATATTTTAAGCCAATGTCAACCGAAACCACCGCCGAATGCCCGGCTTGGGTTGGGGGAAAAAGATATATTGGCATCGTCTGCCCATCCGATCTCGATCCCAGTGGCCACGCCTGATTGAATTTATGGCCCGACTGTGGACTACAAACTGGCCAACTGCAGATCGAGACCCTCGAGGGGCTTTGGGGCTTTGTTTACACAAAACTTTCACAAATTATCCCAACCTGTGAACTGAAAAACTCAAAACTTAATGCCCGAAAACGCATCGACTCGATTAAAATGCTGCAAACTTAATTGGGGCCCAGTTTTGTCGCACATTCTGGGTGGCCGATCGAAAGTACAGTGGTCGCAGTAAAAACAAAACAAGAAATTCTATATTTCAGTAGACTTGACAATGTTATGGGTTTTGTGTCATAATTATGCATGAACAGGGGTCAAAATTTCGACCATCGGAAAATAGAAAATGTTGAATGCAGCTATATAAAGGACGCGGTTAAAAAGTTAATTGGTATAGTATACCACTTTGAAATCAGATTAAAATTGTCAAAGTTATGGATTCTGGAAGTCCAGATTTGGGTCACTATGCTGAAAACCATTAAAACGCTTAGATGTTTAGGCCGTTTTGGCCTTTTACTCATAATATTTCCTATCTATTTATAAGATTTACGAATATTCTTGCTTATTTCTGTTAACAGCTGTATCCATTTGTAAGGTTATTTTTATGACAAAAAGAACAAGGCAATAAAAAGAGTTCTAGTTTTTACATTTTATTAACACAACCACATGTTCTAGACGACATTTAACATAAGAACTTTTTTTTTAATTCCTGAAAGATATTACAACACTTATCAAATTTTGTTTTAGCAAAAGAGACAATCTTAGAGCTTTAATAAGTTATGTTAAAAGATTGTCTTATTATTCTAGTCTTAAAAATCCAATTTGCCAGTGATGAAGTCACTGTACATCCGCATTTATTACGAATCTTCCTGGTCCTTTAACCAATTCCCCTGCCCCTGTGGCATCTGCTCGGTCAAGTGCAAGTGGCAATTTAAAGAATCGACTCGGGAGCCTGGTGGAACGATAAATCGGGTGTCCCAATGTTGGCGCCCCCATATGCGCATAATAATTTCGATGCGAGTGCCGAAGAAAGTTGCCGGCTCCTCGGCATCGTTTCATGTAGTTTAGGTTGTTTCGCCGCAGTTGTTGGCCGGTAAGTGAAATGAAAAGTGCATAAATCTGCCGATCTGGCAGCGGAGTGCAGCGTAAAAAGCGGGGCGATAAGAATCGAAGCGAAGCTGCTTGTTTTTTTTTTGTTTTTGTCTGCAGTTGGTTAAACGCAAGACAAAAGAACTTTCGCTTTCGTTGCGCTCTTTTTCGGCCAGGTAAAAGTGGCCAGTGAAGCGTGCATTATTTAACCAAATTTGGCCATTGAATGCAACCGGTCGGTCGCGAGTAGGTAGGTGCCTACTTCGATATAACAATTATGTGCGTTTAATGAGGCGGCGGGAGCAGGCAGATCGATCGGCCGGTGGAGTTGCCGATCATGCCGCTGACGGATGAGATTGATTGCATAAGGTCTCCCATTCCGATGCCGGTATGACGGTTGCAACATTGTCACCCGCTCCCGTGGAGAGAGACACATTTACTTTCACTGCCCCACACACGAGAATCGGTTAGAAGAGTCAGCGATTTTCGCTTGTTAGCTTTATGAGTCGGAGTCGGAGCGGTCGTCCGTCGGTGGATAGTAAAAGTGATAGTCGTTTCCAATTGGAGATTATTATGGCTTAAGTATTTTACGACTTATATAACCACACACACACACGCACTCGAGACGTCAAAGCAATTAAGCTACCCAAACACACACGGTCGCCGATACAAATGCAGGCACTTTTCTAATTAATTTCGAACCGAGAGACAGGGGGCTCGGAAAAATCTCAATAAAATTTCATTTTCATTGACAGCCGCTTTTCAACTGCAGTTCCATGGCGGTGCAGCGAAGGCGATGGCGAAGGCGAAGGCGACTCGCATGATGAAGTGTGGAAACAGCAACAACAAGAGCCACCACTCGGTACACTTAATTGACAAGTGTGAAACTTTCGATTTCTATACACCCATTGACATACAAAACGAGACAACCGGAGCCACACCGAAAAAAAATATATTTAGATCATCGGAGCTCGCTATCCACCAAACCAAATTGCACCTAAAGTTAAGCTCACTCTAAAAAAAAATAAATAAAAGTAGCAGTTTTCATGTTCCCTTTGTCAAATTATACACTTTCAAATCCATTTTTAAATTCTAATAAATTGTACAAACAAATATATGATATGATTTATATGACAATGATTTAATTGGGATAATTAATTCATAATAAATTATTAAAAAATTAGTCTTTTATAATTTGTTGCTGTGCAATCTAATGATGCCGCCTGCTATGATTTGTTGTGTCTAAATGTCACAATTCTTCGAAGTGATGGGCGGATCCCGGGCGGACAGGACAGAAGAGGTTGGGGGAGTTGGGTGCGCCTGGCCAGAGCCGAGTGAAGTGGAGTGGAGCCGGGAATTTGGATTTCGAAGTGGGGAGCACTCCATACCCTGAACTTGCTATCTCGCTATCGGCAGCTGATGGCTCCGGTGATAATTGCCGATATCTGGCGACTGGTCGGGTGCGTCTCGCGTGCTGACTTGACAAAAAGGCTGCGCAATGCCATCAAATGATTAACTAACGGCTTGGATCGACATGAAACGTGCGAAATGGGTGAAATTTTCTCGGCGTGTTCGAGTGCCGGCCGGTGCGACTTTACACTACAAAAATTATGTTTCAATTATGCCAGAAAATGAAAGTTGCTGCAGAGACCACAACTGTAATGGCTTAATTGCCGCCACCGAATTGCGGGTAATCCAGGAGATCATAACGAGAGATCTTAATTTCTTTTACTTCGAATTTGACGGCTATATGACCTCATGCTGTTACGGGTACTGCCGCTTAAAGTAACTGCTTTATTTTTATAGGCATATTTATATCGTAAAATTGCAGCACCTTTAAAAAAATCTCAAATACCGAAGCTAAGTTTTATACCCAAATATCCTAAATGAGATGGTAAATTCTTTTAAAATAATCAAAAAATCATTAGAGCTTCAAGGTGTTTAGTTTCGCCTTGAGAAGCTTGACTGTAGTTCTTAAAGGAGCAACCTTCCCAGAACAGACGGCCCGTCACTTGGAATTTCAACATATTTCTCAGCAAGCCATAATTAAAAATCAATTTGGCGCAAAGTTCCTATTATGCAAGAGCCGCCGCGACAGGCTCGTAATAACCAGGTTCGTTGCCTCAGTCTTTTGTTTGGCGTTTTGTCAAAAGGTGCAGGCAGAGGCAGTCGTTTCCCCCATCTGCCGCCAGACATCAACATCAACATGAGCCGCACATATCGAGCATAATATCGCCAGCGTGCGATTCGCGATGTGGTACGGCATGGTCTATTGGAACCCGGGTTCATGCTATGTCAAGCATGATTTTGCTGTTCGGGGGCCTGCCACAGAAACCCATTAATGAGCACACAAACTGGCATTTGACAGATTTTTTAATTAAACCATACAAATTGCGATTCTTCACGCTTTTCGCCACACGAAACTGGCGAATATTATTGCTGTCCCACTTAGCCGAAGGCAAGGGAGTTCCCCATACCTCCTCCTTCGTCCAGAAGGCACAAAAAAAAAAAACTGGCATTCCATTCGGCGATAAGCGAGTAATCTCAGCCAGAAACGAGTGAAATGCCACCGCTATCGGATATCTGGCAGCTGGCAGCTCCCGCGTAAATGCAATTTAAGTTGCGGGAGAAAAGAAATTTGCATAGGCGCCGAGCTAATGAATTTTTGGTGCCTGCTTACATAATTATCGGCGGCACCATTATGGCCTGGACATGGGGACCTGGTCCCAAGTCCCAAGTTGAAGTCCAGAGCTCGGAGCTGCCCGGAGTGGAGTGGAGTGCAGTGCTCCTTTCACTTTTGTGCGAGTGCGCCTGCCTAATTATTCCTGCCCGGCCGTGTCCACATCCATTGTGTCCCCTGTGATTTCGCACATAATTAAGCTGCGCAAAATTTACATTAAATTAATAGTTTTATTGTTTTGTCTCCGCCTGAGCCCGAGTCATGCGGAAGCATGGCCCTACCAAAAATGGCCAGCCGAAACCTGACGCAAAAAGCCACTAGAGAAAAGGGGGGAGAGGAAGCCCCTAAGCCATTACCACCAGCGGCAATAAACAAAGACAAAGCGCCAGCGAAATTATGGCGGAATTTATGCAAATCTTGTGACAAAAACAAAGTTCAATCCAGCTTCTTTTCACTTTCATGATTAAATATCCTAAGAAAGGCGGAAAAGCTAAATACAAATGTTCTGAAATAATACTTTAATACTTTTTCAATTTTTTTAAATCTTTAGAAGTTTCTTTTATTGGGTTTACTGACCCTAAAAAACACTTTTCTAGCGGTTGTGTGAGTATTAACTGCGAAGCTCACTGCCCAATCAATATAATATCATATCTCAGCATCTCAACACAATCATTTTCATCGATAATTTTCTTTCATTATACTTTCCGCACAAATAAGTTCGCAATATCAAAAAGCTATTAATTATGAATGTATAAGTGAGATCTAAGATAAACAAAGGAAAAGGAATCCGCAGGCTATTTTTTGAGAACAATTTGACAGCATATTAAATCCGGCTAAAACCAGATAATTAACTTGGCCTACTTCAACGCCGGTGAAGATAAATGGGCAAAAAGTAAAATATAAATAAATAATGAACCGGGAACCAAGAGGTCGTAAGGCGGCTTCTTGTTGTAAGATCTTTCAGTCGAGCGGCATTCGTGGCTCTGATCGGTTACAAGAATGGAACTTACAAAGATTGGAAGTGTTTTGGGAATAGCAATATTCGCGTTTCTGTGGACTTCGGCAACCAGTGAACCACAGAGTCTTGAGTGGTCTGGTCACTATATAGATAATAGCACCCACTATATTTTGTACAAGGATCAAAGAATCCAGAGCCAGGGCTCTTTGTTAGGAAATATATCCACAAACCCCGCGATAAATGCCATAGAAAATCAGGATTACTTTCCGAATCGGATTGTGAATGGCAAGAAGATCAAGTGCACCAGAGCGCCATATCAATGCTCCCTTCACTACGACAACACTTTCCTCTGTGGCTGTGTTATTCTTTCCCGCCACTGGATTCTCACTGCCCACCATTGCAAAATTGGAAGAGCCGGTCACTATACGGTTCGAGCGGGATCAACTCAGCAACGGAGGGGTGGTCAACTTCGCCAGGTTCAAAAGACAGTGGTCCATCCTGGCTTCAGTACAAAGACCATGAAGAACGACCTGTGCATGATGAAGCTAAAGTCGCCACTAAATCTTGGCACTTGTGTCCAGAAAGCCAAGCTTCCCTCGGTCAAAACTAAATATTTTCCCCATTGCTATTTGGCCAGCGGATGGGGCTTGACCTCTTCTAAAGCCCAAAACCCACAGCGATATTTGCGTGGAGTTGTGGTGTGCATGGTCGATCGAAGCAAGTGCCAACAGGATTATCGCCAAGAAGGAATAAAAATCTACAGGGAAATGATATGCGCTGATCGACAGAATCGCGACACCTGCTCCGGAGACTCTGGAGGTCCTCTGGTCCACAAGGGAGTCCTCTATGGAATTACTTCCTTTGGAATCGGTTGTGCCAATGCCAAATATCCCGGAGTTTATGCAAATGTATTGCAATTCGTTCCATGGATAAAGGAAACCGCCCGAAAACATTAATTTAATAAATAAATAAAATGTGAAAAATAAACGGTAGACGGTAGAATAAAGAGATTAAGAAAGAAGTTTTACAAATATTTGTTTGCTACCAAAAATAGAAACAGAATAGGCACAGTTTCTAATCTTTGTAGTCAAATCAATAAATTCTGGATTTGGAAAAGAAATAAATTTAAAAGAAATCTACATAATGTTATGAAACCCTCCATTTCTTGATTTTATAAAAAAGTATGGTCCATTGTTAATAGACCAATCAATCCACTAGGTCGCATGCCAAAGCGAAGGTCATTAGCATTTTAGATTCTACACTTTTTGCTGTTCCACAGTTCTCGCCTAAAGGTCAAGAGCTCAGCTTTTAGTATTCTGCAGAAAGTGGTTCTTTACGGTCGACTAGTTTTTTCTCAGAGGATGAAACTTTCTGCTTTATTAGTTTTATTGGTCATTAGTGGCCATAAAGTTTTGGCTAAAACACATCAGGAACGTATAGTAGGTGGAGTGGAGTTGCCCATTCATAAATCCCCATGGCTCGCTTCTTTAAGTGTGCATGGAAACTATAGTTGCAGTTCGGCTCTGATTACATCTCAGTGGTTGGTGACAGCAGGACATTGTGTGTACTATAAGGATGATTACTCCGTTCGAGCAGGATCTTCATACGCCGACGAAGGTGGTCAGAAAAGGGATCTGGTCAGGATTATCCTTCATCCGAAGTTTAATATACGAACTCTGAACAACGACGTTGCCTTGCTGAAGGTTCGTGAACCTTTTACTTTGAGGGAAGATGTTCAGCCGGTGAAGCTACCGTTTCCAGGACTTAGTGTCCTTCCCCGGACCTTTTTGGTTGGCGGTTGGGGAACTCTAAATGAGAATTCCAGTGACTCGTCTACAACTTTACTTGGCACTTTTGTGGAAGCCATAGACCAAAGGCGTTGCCGACGACTTTACTCTCGACTGAATCGCTTTATTTCGAATAATATGCTGTGTGCGGCATCCGCTGGACGGGATCACTGCTACGGGGATTCAGGAGCTCCTTTAGTGCATGCAGGAACCAGCTTTGGAATCGTATCCTTTGCCCATGGCTGTGCGAATCCGCATTTTCCAGGGGTCTACACCCGATTGTCCAAATATGTGGATTGGATCTTCAGTATCCTGGAAACTGATAACAATATAAACCTAATAAACAAGATCAATTGAAGTATAATAAAGAAGTTTATCAAAATCATTCAAGATCGTCTTTAAGTAATAAATATTTCAACTTATCACCTTTAAATTCACTCCGCTCGGAAGTCAATTCTTCCTGCTTGTGCTGGATGCTCATCGCTCCTGGAATACTCGATGCATTATACAATCCACCAGCGTTTTCCCAGCCATCTGAGGAGCCGCTCTCTGGATTCGTGCCCAACTGAGGCGATAAACTCGTACCGCCGGTCGACGGCAAATTTGTGTAAATTATGTATTTGTGCATTTTGATTTCATTTAAACGAAGTTTCCTGATGGCCCCTGGCGCATGTCAAATATCAAAACCGAAACCAGCCTGCCAGCCACTTGCGCAACAGCCACATCCAGCAATCCATATCCATATCCATATCCACACAGCCCCATCCCGAGTCCACGCCACACACATCCACATCCACATCCCAATCCGAAATCCCAGCTGGTCGAAAATATCACTGCCATATGCGGTGGGCGTGCTCCGTTAATGCTGCACTCTGGCGGCCCCCGAAATTAACATAATCGTGCTGCCGTTGCTTCTGGGATCGAAATCGGGATCGGGCATGGGGATTGCCTTGGTCCAATGTGATGCCCCAACAAAGTGTTGAATGCTGGCGCTGGCTGTCAAGTGGCGGCCCCCGGGCATTGGCACACTCAGTCGCAGTCGCAGTCGTAGTTGCCATCGCCACCCGCTAAGTTGTGCAATGGGAGCATCAAAAGTGGTCTGACTTTTACACGGATTCGCTTCGCTTTATGTTTTTTAGTTAAAATAAAATTTTAATAATATGAAAATATGCTTAAAATTTGCATTTTCGCAAGTGTATGTGTGTTTTTTCTGAGGGGGATTGTGTGTGATTTCGTTCGTATATTTATATATAAAAGGGTATCAGCGTTGTGGGGTGTATACGCTTGCTAGTCAGGCATGTAAATCTCTTAAGCATAAATTCACACCGAATTGTCGTCTCTTTTATGTATATGTATATTTTGTTATCATTAAGTTACGCTTATACAATTCGTTACGTATTCTAGCCTAAATGTATACCATCATTTTGTTGTGTTTTGTTTTTGTTTTCGTTTTGCTCTTGTAATCTTGTTCTTTGTATATGTGTTCAAAGGTTCTTGTAAATTTTAAACTAGTCGCTATAAAAAATGTTTGAACAGCAAACTCGTGTATGCATTGGTGTCTTGCAGGTGGACAAAAAGCGAATGCACAAACAAATCAACTGTCATCTCGAAAAAATCGTAAAAATTTGTTTTAAAAATCGATAGCCAAAAGCCATTAATAATTGTATTTGGTATCTTTAACATGCGCGCACACAATAAATTTCACAAAATAAGAACGTAAAAAAATGTACAATTACAAGCACACACATAATTTGTTTACCATTGTTTTTAACATGTTTTCTTTACCAATGCAATCTTTAAAGCTATATAACAATTTTTTTAGTTTTCATTTTCGCATCTCTCGTTCGGACTCTAATGGCTTCCAATTACCTCAACAAGGATACAACTTATTTAACAGTAAATGATCAACTAAGGAAGTACTTGAAGACTGACAGTGGGGAATCCCCGACGACCACTCAACTTAATAGGGGGCATGACAACCCGTGAGCTTGAAAAACATTAGAATTAGTGGGTGAATCGAAGCGGGAATAATTTCTTAGTCAGTTGAGTTGTGTTGGGGATGCCTTATGCTATCTTACGGGCTGGTTTACAGGTTTAGTTATTGCAAATGTATTTAGACTCGAGTTCTGTTTGAATGTGAGCTTCCTGCGCGAAATTCGGTCAGATTTCTCTACTGATCTTGGCTGGTTGTCGTTGCTGTTTCTACCTCTCTCCTCACTTTCTATCGCTGGATCTTGGCTTTCTCTCTCACGTACATCACATATTTTACACTTTAATAATACTTCCTTACACATAATTTATTAATTAATTCATATTTCTCTCTTTGCAGATTGGTAGAGCTAAAATTGGTTGCTTCTGCTGCTATTGTTGCTAATGCTATTGGACAGCTCCATATACACCAGCCAGTTGATTAGTTGACGATCCCTTAGTTGATGATCCCGCTGCTCCTTCTGCTTAAATAGCTGTTGATTTATCGGCTCCAGTTTACGACAAAAACGGATTTGTAGCGGCTTCCGGTTTGATCCACGGCATGTTGTTATTTTGCTGCAAAATTCAAGGTAGGCATTAGTTTAAGCTTACGAGTTGGATTTCAGTAAAGTTAACTTGCTAGCAATAAGCGAACTACATGCATAGTTTTAAATTATTACAGCCAACTACGGGTTAAGGTTAAAGGTTGTTAGTTTAATTTGTTAGAGGGGAGGACTATGAGTTAGATAGCGGAGCATGCACATTCGAAAAACTTTTTACCCATTTGCATTTATTGCATATTGTATGTGTTTTATTTAAGCGTCCAAGCCTCCATTGTTGGCTACAATTAGAAAATATTATGGATCAACTGGGTTTTAGCAGCGCTGCTTCTGGTTAAGATGCGTACGTTGTTTTGGAGGAGCAGCAAAGGAAACAATTTTAAAACATAACCAAAATTATATATTTATAGTCTTATTTCCAAGTCAAGTTGGTGGCTAGATTCCTTTGCTGCACTCCCCAGATAGCAGTTCGTATTTCTCATACTTGCAATTCAAACAATATCAAACAAATCAACAATAAATAAATTCAAAACTAAAGAGCAAAAAACGCAAGCCAAACAATAGAATACAACTTTTGGCAGGGGAAGTAGTAAAAAGAGATTGATCGCAACGACGGCTTCAACGGCGGCACACTCACTTCCAACTTGCAGTGGTTGGCCGAGGAGGTTGAGGGCCCAAAACTCATGACGGGATCGGCCACAAAGCCCATGGGAGCCACACTAACTCCCGGGGTCTCGGCCAGGGAATCGGATAATGCGCTGCTGTAGCTGGCAGCATAGCTCGAATAAAGTCTGGGAGTACCATAGTTGAGGTTGATATTGTTATTGTCGTTGCTATTGTACAAGTAAGTTTCTGCAGCTGGAGCCGTTGGACTATTGAAATAGGGCCGCTCGGTGAATATATCCATGTTCCGGATGCCATCGATTCCAGGACTCGGACTCACATAGCTGCTGTATATGGTACTGTTGCTGGTGGAGCTACTCATGTTGCTGTTGCCAAGGATATTCGTGTTGCTGTTGCTTTGGTACGCATAGTTGTGGACCTGCGAATTCTGCTGTGGCTGAGGGTTGTGGGCGGAGGGAATGACGGGATTACTAAACGCACTCAACAGCTGAAATTCACCCACGGACGAGGGCCCCAAGTTGAGGCTAGTGGGACGCACGGGAGGCGGAAGTTTTGGCTAGGATATTGGGTGGTTTCGCATGCAACAGTTGCTCAAAACGTAATGATAGAAGGGCAAACAATAGTTAAGGAAACAAAATGCACACGTGAAATGATAAGATAGATTCAGAAAGTAAACAGAAATACCGATAAATCATCAGACAGCAAAACCTCAATAAAATCATCAAGATACGATTACAAGTACGAATAGATTCCCTATCACCGCAGACGCACTTCATCTTCAACTTCTGGCAAACTCACCTGTGAAGTCGCACTGACGCCACCCATGACGGGTGCCCAGGGATCCTGGTTCATGCTGACTGAGAAGGGAGCCTGCTGTTTCAGCTGATTGATGGACGGCACCTAGTTTAAACAGGACATATGATAAGTTAATTTCTATCTTCAAAATCAGATTTCAAACTTCTCTTACGGCTGGCTGCTGTTGCTGGAATAGATTCGTCTTGGGTGGCAACACGTTATCGCTGAAGGGATTGTAAGCTGGCTGATTTCCGACTTGCGTTTGTGGCGCAATCGGTTTAATTAGATTGTCCAGGTTGACCAGCGCGGAATTCTCGCCGAGGAACGAGTGGGCATCCTTCACGGGTTTCTTTGCCGTGGCGCCCGTCGATGGATGCACAGAGCCCGCACTGTTGTTCATAGCTCCATTTCCGTAGTTTGCCGATAGCGGGTCCATGTCGTCGAGCAGAGAAGCTGTAAAAAGTTTTAATGTGATAAGCTCGCCTGGGTTGCGATTATCATTCTTAAAAGACTCACCATTGTTGTTGTTGTTGGAGGCGTTGGAATTGCTTAGCTCACTCTTGTTCCGGTTGGTAATTAAGTCGAACTCGTCAAACTCAGGGGATGTTTTCTAAAATGAAAATGTGGAAGATAATTTAATTTTTGGGTCATTTACCTCTGTCCAAACAAAAGTTCTTTATGAAACTATTTTGTAAATTTAATTTAAAATCTTTATCCTCTTGTCTATTGTAATTGGATAAGTGGAATAGTCAGTTCAATGATTTTTAAAAATTATATAAATTTTGCTATAGCAAAAGACTGCATACCTTAATGGCTCCTGTTCCAAGGGCTTTCCAGGGGTCATCCAGGGCTGCACTTTGAGGTGCTCCACCTGCCGCCCAAGGATCCGCCAGTCCGGATGCTCCTGCTCCTCCTGTCGCTGGCGCTGCTGGTTCAGCCAGCCAAGGATCCGCAGATGAGCTTCCATTATTTGCGGCATGATTTACGGGCGCTGCTCCCAAAGCACCGACAGCATTAGATTTTATCAACCATCCTTCAGCTGGAGCTCCCGCCGGAGTGGCTCCACGTCCATTCTGGTTGGCATTGCCGTTGGTCTGCAGCCAGCCCTCGTTTGAGGAGCCCGAGGCCATCGACGGCGATTGAGTTCGAGCTCCCCAGGCATCGTTTCCAGCCGCTCCTCCGACCGGTGGCGCCGCACTCATCGGCACTCCAGCGCCCATAATAGTCCGAGGCGCTGCCGAGGGATTCCAAGGATCCACTTGCGGGGAGGAAGTGCCCGACCAGGGATCAGAAAGCTGGCTAGGCGCACGAGGAGCTGGCGTGGCCCAGGGATCAACGACAGCCGCGGGAGCGCCGCCTGCAGCGCCCAGCGGCGGACTCGAAATGCTCGCGGCGCCCAGAGAAATGTCCAGCAGATCCAGCAAATGACTCTGTGGCTCCTCCTTTTTGGGCGCGGGAAGGGGACGAGCATTTGGATCTCTAAAAGATAAAGATGCGGTTAGAATTGCAAACAGAAAAGTTTGTTTTTCTCTACGTACTTGAAGTCCTGTTCACTCTGGCTGAGCGCTAGCTGCAAACGCACATCATCGCTGCGCCGCTTGGCCTCCTCCTGCTCCGCTTCCTCGCGTGACATGGCCATGGCCAGCTGAAGTTGCAGCTCCTCTTCGCCAGCCGTCTGCGGACGAACCATTTCCAGTTCGGAGACGGACTTCGGTGGCTCTTCTTGCCATCCTGGCGGCAGGTCGCGCTGTGATGGTCCGTCAATGTAGCCATCGCTACCGAAACCACTTGGATGCTGGGCAAATCGCTCCTTGGCCTTCAGCGCCTTAACACGCTCGTTTTTCAGCCGCTCATCGTCCTTGAGCAGATTGACCAGCTGCTTGGCCTTCTCACGGACATGGGTGCCCTGATCCTTGCCCTCCTCAAAGTAAACGAACTCACGCAGCGTCTGGATGGCAAAGATATTCTCCTTGCACTGCTGAGCCACCTTTTCCGTGCCCGTCTTGATGAGGTACTCCAGCAGGATGAGTGCCTTGTAGACGTGACGCCAGTTCTTGCCGTGGTCGTTGAGGCGCTTCCAGATCATCTGCATGATCTCCGAGAAGGCCACCACGTTGTAGGTGAGGTCCGCTATCTCGCCCATGATAGCCGCCGAAGGACCCCATGGATCATTGGAGGTGGCCTCGCGCACTTTGACCTTAAGGAAGGGGAAAAATGACCAAGATTAAATTAAATTATATATATGTAGATATAGTCTTGATCACTCACCTGGGCATCGGAGTAGTTGTGCGCAAGGTTCTTGATGTTTCTGCGCAGACCAGCGACATTGACCTGCATATCGTCCTTTTGCTTTCTCACTGTGTGACGAAAAGGAAGGAATGGGGTATTAACATGGCTATATCTTTTCGATCCTGCCCTCGATTCGGTTAGGGGGTTTCGGGGTGGATTGTGGGAAGGGTTATTTCTTCTTGAGTTAAGTTCTGCTATCGAAAAGTTCCTCTTTGATGTGGATGCGAATAGGTGTGGGATAAATTTGGGATTTCAGTTATATTTTTGACAGGTTCTGTGATGTTTTCTGAGGTTTATCCGAGTTTATTGTGTTGAATGTGTGTCGGACTACAAAATCTGAACAAAAACAAACTAAAACGGGTGAAGACAAATCGGTTCCAATGGGCTCGGAACTTATGTGGAAGATGTTAAGTGGTCTGTGGAAGTGAGTTTTGCTGCTCTGTGCTGCTGATCTGTGTGGTGAGAGTCGAAACTCGAATTAGAATAATAAAATCGGATCGGATCTGTTTGATATATCCCTTTTTAGTCATATTTTGCGGTGTTCATTTTGGAAGAGAGATTGAAGTTTAATGAGATGAATTAACATTGAGACTTACTTTTCGTTTGTTTTTGCGTTTGACTTTGCTTTTTATTTTTTATACACAAACTTTGGACTTTTGTTGTTTAAGCTAAAGATTCTTTTGCTCTTTTTGTATTTTTTTTCGTTTTGGTTTATGTTTATTGCTGTTTAAGTGCTCCAAAGCAAGCTAAATATGAGATACAAGATAAATACAATCAAAATACATAGTAAAAGAGTACACATACGGATATACATATTTATAAATAGTCAGAACTTTGTACTTGCTGTTGTTGCAGTAGTGCAAAACACAGAATTCAAAAGATAGATTAATTGCCGAACTCAAGTGCATCAACCAAAAATCGTAAGATCATACTTTAAATCAGATATCGAAATCAAATCCAGTAAATTTAAAGCGCTGTTTTAAAAGCCGCACCAGACCTTACAATACTAGACCCTCCCAGTTTAAAGGTCTCCTAGAAGAAATAATTCAATTTGCGGGCAAACAAAATGTAGACAGAAGGGAAAAACAACACGATGAAAAAACAAAATAAAACATAGCAAGAGTATTTTCCTTGACATTTGAAAGGCGACTTAACAATACACTGCACAAAAAGCAAATGTGCGCAAGTGATCGCAAAAATATATTACATTTTTAAACAATTTCTTTTGGATTTAAAATATATTTACACGGTTTTTTTTTTTAAAAATAAAATGAATTTACCAGCTTTTAGAAAGAAATATATATTTAAGTATTATTATATGATACAAATGACTTATTTTCCTCAAGTTTTTCCCCACTTGTTTCGGATAAAAAAACCTTCTCCAGAAGCTCTTCTTTTGTCTCCCTGGCAAACTTTTCCATTTCGCTAATAAGCCCCACTGCATCCAATCCATTTGCTTGAACTTAACCCATGGCAGACCGAAACAAGAAGCCGCAAAAATGCAAAATAACCTACGAACAAGAAATAAAAGTGAAGCAGAACATTCCGTTCGGACAGACAATCGTCTACGTCCACGTCTGGATATGCAAATTTTCCGACTAAGCTGCATTATGCATTAAAAGGAAAACAACAACCACAGCGGGAAATTATAGCAAATGAATTGATTTTTTCCGCTCCTTTGTCGAGGTGCACATCTATTTTTAAATGCAAAAAGTACAAAGAAGATAAACAAATTGTTATCGATTCTTTGGTAAAAGTAGCAAAAGTTCTATGAAAAGAATTTTAAGAATTCTTAACCGTTAAAAGGAAACCGAGCATATAAAGTAGCCGGTTAACTTTTGCAATTTGGAGCTGATTACGGAAGAGATAAGTACTTGAATGTGTACCAAGTACGTCAAACGACATGGTTTACGACTTTTTGTAGGAAAAACAGTAGATAAACGCCTGATTTGGCAGATTAAACAGAAATAACACGTCTATAAAACTGCATAAATACCAACATAATATTTAATTCGAGGCATTCAAAACCCTTTACGTTATATAATAAAAAAAAGTTTCTTTGTTTCGAACATACTTCAGTTCCGATAGAATAAAAAACCTATTGATAAACTTTTGATACAAACACGATTTACAATTTTATACAAATTCTTCATAAAAATATTTATAGGAGTCATAAAAGATGTCTAAAGCTTTAAAAAAAATCCCTAATAAAAAAAGCGAAAATTTCACTAGTTACACGAATTCAAATCAGTTTATAGCTGCGAAATCATTGTAGTTTCTGATATAAGCACCGTCCTTGTTGTATTTGCGAATAATATATTTATTTTGGTTTATTTTTTGTGTAAACAAAGCACTTGACACATATCGAAGAGAACCGGCAACAGCGAAACTCCACCGAGAACCCGCTTTAAAACTGTAACTCACAGATAAACCCGTTCCGCAAGTATTCGAGCTATGCGAGAAACAGAGTGATAATGCGGGGGAACTCTCGTATCCGGGGAGTGAAATTCATTGACCGATCCGCAGACGACGATCTGTAGTAACGATCCACTGCGAAAAGGGCTGTTTGTTTGTTTGTTTTCATTTCCCCCGAAGAAGGCGAAATAATTCAATTAAATGTCGCGCACTAAGACGGCAAAAACAGAAAAGGAAAACTACGCAAATGAAGTGCAAGAGTCAAGAAATACTGGGTGGTGCGGGGTGGTTCCTAGTCTGTTTTTTTGTTATGGTGGCTGCCTGAACTTGAGCAAATTGAATGCCAGACAGAGCAGTCAAGAGTGCGGGGGAGGCAACGAAGCTTTCTTTGTGTTTCTGCACTTGACTTTCGGCAAAACGTCGCCGTTTTATTGCCAAAAATATAGCTTTGCTTGTGTGGGTATCAAAACAAACAGAATACTGAGCGAGTTGCGAGTCACTTTGTTTAAAGGCAAAGAGCCTTGACGGCAGCGGTTCAATGAACGGTAGCGAACAATCTCCGAAAAACGCTCCAAACACCGAATTAAATTGCCAAGGAAGAGGTGCTCCGTGCGATGTGTTGCCGGATTGATATGCGCGGTAGAACTGATCACTCTGGAATCGCTTATTAAATCCAAAAGCAATTAAAGACGAGCAAAATATTCCACATTCACGAGGCTGTTTGACGTGCATTATTGTTAGGCGTTTAGCATGTTTCCGCTAAGGTGAAATGTTGATGAGAGACTGTCAGTAACCCCATAAAAACGATCTAGTGAGATAATATATTTATTTGTTTAACTAAGAGTCAAAATCTATTCTTCTTAATATATACATTAAACATGATCGCCTTATTTCTTCAATCGCTTTTATGATGCTTCAGTTTTGTTTGTTTATTGCGAATTTTTCTTTCTTTTTAATCAAAAACTTATCAGTTTCAGATTAAGAATATGCGTGTTCTATTTCGAAGAGAGAGAAATTTAAATTTCATACAGATAAGGAATTTTAGTACTCGGTCTTTGGGTTTTTCTATTTATTTTCTAAGATTTTGAGTTTCTGGAAATTACGCTGTTTTTGCAAGTTTTCTAAGATTTTGAGTTTCTGGAAATTACGCTGTTTTTGCAAATGAAATGTTTGCTTTTGGCCTACGGTTATCAGAGCTTTTGAGATGTTTTCCCATTAGCCAAACAAACAGGCTGAAGGGTTAACCACTGTCGACGAAGGTCATTGCTCGCTTGACGGTGATGCTGCCCACTGTGCAACATGATCGCGCGGACCCGCCCCTCCTCGGACCTCATTCCCCACCGCTCTGTTGCATTCTCCAAAGTTGTTGCATCTGTTGTAAATGCGGGCGGTCATTACATAGGTATCATATAAATAATAATGTGTACATGGGTTTTGCAGCAGTGTGCGTGTGATAACGAGGCAAAAATGCGATTAGATTTCATTTGTGTCACTCAAACTACTCACACAAATACACACAAACAGCCAACTGATGGGGGCACAAAAATGTGCGAAACTTCATTCATTACTCATACGCCCCCCTGGCACACATAAACCCGTTTACACCTACGCCCCTGGCAACCCTGGAAATATGACTAACCACTCGACCGGCTAACGGTGCTTATCAAACTAAAAACAAGAAAAAACCAAGGAAGTGTTATCAAAAAACATAGTTTAAAAACGGTTAGCGGGGAATTACATTTAGGTATTTTAGGATCTTTAATTATGAAAATCATTATACAAAAATCAAGACCCAAAGAGAAAGAAAGAGAAATATGTTTGTGGCCCCCTCCCACTTACTCTTTCGCTCACCTGCAATGTTGTGTTTATTGTTGTTTTTGTTGCTTCACTGCAGTTCGCCTGTAGGTGTGTGTGAGTGTGTTTGTTGTGTGTGCGTGTGTGTCTGTGAGTGGGGGGCTCCGTGTAACTGTGTGTGTCTGTTGGTGTGTGCGACTCCTCCTCCCCAACTAGTTTTCTTTTCTATATTTTACGACTTTCTTTTCTTTCTTTTTTCGGACTCGAATAGACACAGTCACAAGATGACGATGACGACAATGCGACGTCAACAAAGGGGAACAAACGGTAGAGCTGCGCGCACGGTATGGTATCCAAAGTCCTGGCACTTTATTGGGTTTCTTGGGGTATCGAATGCGAAAATAAAACAACTTATTTACCCTTTGCACTTTGCACACAAAACACGAATTATTATTTCTTTCTCCGCTTTTCGTTTGGTTTTTTCTACTCAGTGTGACCGCAGTTAAAAAGTTGATAAATATCTCATCCGGCAGAGAAAAATACTTAACTGAAATACTAAAATACTAAACATTATTTATTTGAAACGATTGTGAAATTACTTCAGAAGTTGCTATTAAAAATGTATTCATTTTTTACGCAGATAACTTTGGATAAAATATTTGATTTTTACTTTTCATTGATAAACATTTTTCTCAATTTCCTTTTAAAACCATATCAGCAAAGTATTAGGGTCCCAAAAATATGCAACAAAATATTGAATTCCGACAGCGCGGACTCAAACCTGATTATTATATTCCGCTGTTTTTGAATTCAAATATCTGCAAAATATATTACTAATGTGAAAACCAATAATTTGTTGAATTTAGAAAAGTCCTAATTACAACGAATAAAGTAAAAATCAGTTTTTCTTTTTTTATTTACGATTTTATTTAGAATACCATTTTTATTGTCATGTAATTACACGCTAAAATCTATTTTCTCATGTTGTTAACGAACTGATAACAATATTTTTCTCGTTTTTTTATATTCGTTTATTCAGTTTGTGAATGTGCACGGCTACGGTTGTGCTTGTGGCTTCTTGTGTTTTTTATGTGAGTGAGTGCTTTTCGTTATTAACATTAGCTCGATGCGGTTTGTTGTTGCTGTCGTTTAACTCTAAGTACCTACTTGTAGATATTCAACGTTCATACGTGTATACAGTTATTAAATATAGATAATGTGTATATGCAGTTGCATATTCGTTATCGCCACCATTCTGTTTCTATCGGTCAATTTTCGGTTTTCAATTTCACAAAAAAATTCTAATTTGAAATAAGAATTTTGCATATGTGTCAGTGTTGCATTCTATTTTCTTTTGAACTCTTAAATTAAATAGAAAATCAAAACTTTGTGAAATTAAAGACCGAAAATTTGTCCGCTTGCCAACGCCAAAACACACACATTCGCGAAATTGAGCCCCCAACAAATAAGCTTAAATCATAAGACTGTCCTCGTACGTTCGTCCCGATTCCTGGTGATCGAATTTAGCATAAAATCGACGAAAAAAAACTCAACAAAAAGCGTCCGGTCCGACAAACTGTTCGATTTAGCGATGGCTTAAATAAAACATAAGAACTAAGTTAACTTAAGGCATACAAATCCCGAATCTCGCTCCCTCCGCCGTTTTGCATGCTGCTCCGCCCCAGTTCAATCGATTCCGCCTCCTTCGTCCTTCTGCGATTTACAGTAAAATAATGTGTTTGTTTCGGGGGGGGAATGGAGTCCCCCTGAGGATGCGGCATCCTCACTCCTCCGGCGGCTCCTCGGGTATCTGGAGGCTCTGCGCCGCGTGCGGATACTCCGCGTGCACGGAATTCGAGTGCACCGACTCGGAATCCTCCTCCAGGGCATTCGCCTTGCTGGGCGGCGGCGTCAGTGAGTCACTGGCCACCGGTGGCTGCACCAGATTCGGAATATACTCCACCGTCTCGTACTCGGTCTTGGCCACCGCCTCGTGGTCCAAATCCCGCTCCAACTCCCGCTCCCTCTCCCTCTCCCTTTCTAGCTCCTGCTGCAGAGGATCCTCGCCAGCCGGCGGAACCAAGACCGCTTCCTCGACTTTGACTGCGTCCACGTCCGTTTGGTTGGATGGATTGCCCGGCGAATTCGGTTCCTGGAGCTCCACGATCACGGGGAGCGTTTCATTCGGTTTCGGTGTCGTGGTGCTGGTGGTTGTGGTGGTGGGTGCAGTGGTGGTTATCACCTCGGTGGGAGCCACCTGGCTGCTGCTCTCGGTGGTTGTCGAGGTACTCGTGGTGGTCGTGGTCTCCTTGGTGGTGGTCGTGATTACAGCATTCGCTGTGGTCGACTCGATCCTCTCCGCTTCCGGTTCCACAGGAAGTGGAAGCGGTGGTGTCGGTGTGGTGGTGGTCAGCAAGAGAGGCGGTGGTAGCGGGGAAATCACCGGATTGACCAGAGCGGTACCAATAATCACTGGGTTACCCAACGTAGCAATAATAGGTGGTAGCAGCTCATCGTTGGACTTGATCAGCTGGGGAACCAGCATCTGCATCACCGGCTTGGCATCCTCGCGGCCTCCCAGCTTCAGGTTGGTCACCATTATCGGCAGGTCCACCTTGTACAACATGGGCAGCACGGTGCACACCTCCTGGTCGTTTTCGAAGCACTGGGATCGTCCTCGGATTCGCGCCTCCTGCACCGCCATCAGTCGACAGAGCTCGTTCAAACGCACATCACACATGATGGGATTGTCTGGAAAAGATTGGATAAACTTAGTCAATTTAGATAATATGCATATTGCAAAAAAATTAAATTACTAAATTTAATTGTTGTTTAAGAATTTCATTGCAAGCTTCATGACTCTTTTAAATTGTGTTAAAATTAGTAAAATTATGTGCTTTGAAGTGCAGTTTTGGGTCACCTTTGTGAAACCTTTTCAGAAAAAGTATAACTTACCATCTAGATGTATCTCCAGTTTGCCGGGAACCTTGTGATTTTTGCAGCGCGTGTTGGTAACAAGCTCGCTCGAAATGGTCGAGATCTGGTTGTTGGTCAAGTTGGCCTGGCACAGCACGGGCAGACCCTTGAACTCCTGATCCAGTTTGGTGATATTGTTGTACGCCACCTTGAGTATCTTCAGGCTGGGCAACAAGGTCTACGAAAAAGAAAACCCCGTTAAGAATTAAGTTTTTATTTATAAGGGTTTATCACTTACCGTTTCCAATGCCTTTAGCTCCGCTATCTGATTTCCGGTGAGGTCGAGGATGTCAAGACGAACCATCCCATCGAAATCGCCCACCTGGAGGTGCTCCAATCGGTTGTTGGCCAAGTTGAGTATCCTGAGAAAGCCCAGACCTGCTAGAGCGCCGTTCAGGGATTCTATTTTGTTATTGTCCAGATCCAGACTGACTAGCAATAGCTCCTTGACCCCGCGGGGATCGACCAGCAGTCGTTGGATGCGATTGTTCGACAATTGCAGCGACTTCAGAAACCGCAGACCGTGGATTTCGGCCAAAGAGAATTCTTCGATGTCGTTGAACGAGAAGTTGGCGCTGTTCAGCTTGAGGAGAGGCAAAAGCGATGAGTTGAGCGACTTAATGTGGTTGCAGCCCATCTGAAGGGTCTCCACTTTGGAGCAGGAGGCAAACTCATCCTGGGCCAAGTACTCCAGCTCGTTGTTTTCGGCCAACACCTCGGAAAGATTGGCGGCGTTGCGAAGGACCCGGTCGAAGGACCTCAGTTGGTTGCAGTGGATGTGGACCGTTTCCAGGTTGTGCATGCCCTCCATGTTGGCCGGCAGTCGTTCCAGTCGATTGTTGTGGGCCATCAGTAGGCGCAGCTGCCCTCCATCCGGCAGTTCGCCATCCAGCGAAGATATGTTATTCGCGTTGATGAACAGCGACTGCAGGTTGTGCAGATCGTGCAGCGACCCGTTGAGCGACTCCAGTTGGTTCCTGCCCAGATGCAGGATCAGCAGGCTCTTCGGAAAGGAGCCTCTGTCCAGGCGCCGGATGATGTTGCTCACCAGGATCAGGTTCGTCACCCGCTGTATGCCCCGGAAGTCCTCCTGCTGCACCGCCCGAATGTTGCACCGCCCGATGTCCAGCGTCAGCAGGCTCGGCATGTGGCTCAAGGCGTGCTTCGGGATCTCGTCGAGTTCGTTGTCGCCGATGCTTAGGTAGGTGACATTCGATAACCCGCGGAACGGCACCTCGGGCAGCGATCTATAAATAGCGGTAGAAAAACACACATCCATTACAATTTCGTATTATTAGACGAAGAGATCCGAATAATGGGGATACGGCTAAAGAAAAAGGAATTGGTTCAACCTCAAAGAATTAGTAAGAGTTAAATAAATTATAAGGCATCAACTAAAAGAATTGAATCAGTCTACACCTAAGCAGATAAGTAGAAGTTCGAATGCATATTAAGTACCTTAAAGTCGCGTTTTTAAAACCTATATCCATTTTAAATAATCTACTATGCATAATAACCTCTATGAAATGTATATTCCTTTTATTTCTTTACCCTAAAGTCTCAAAGGTATTCCCCCGTAATCGACAAACTTATTTTTGCAATCTAATGCTTTTGCTTCTTTGATTAAGAACGTAAATTATCATCCAAAATGGCATAGAATACTAAATAATTAGCAGATAGCATTGGAATGCTGATGACATTTCGTACAAACTTGGCGTATATTTATTTGCTTGTGTACAATGTTTTGATTTGAGTCTACAACTAGGCGATCTCTTGGCATAACGCTTTACAAATTATAAATAATTAGAGAAAAACAGTTAAGGCAACATTTTATGAGCTAAACATTGAAACATGAAAGGGAGCAATGCCCGTTGAATCTGAGTCATGGTAGTTACAAGTTCAGATCCATTGGTAATTAGTTTTTAATGGGTCTACGAGTATATCAGATTTCGCATCCCTGGCCCATCTTTGGACCCGATGACGCAGCCTTATCAGGTGGAGCTGTAGCCCAACCCCCGAATCGCCCTGCTCCACTTCGGTGCACCTGATCAGTATCTTTATCGACGACTGCAGGTGGCTATTAAGTTGTCGCCGTCGAGGCGCCAAACGGCCCCCAAGAACAGCAGATTCACGATGGGAACTGGGCCTGGATGGCGTGCCAAGTGCATCCTTGGCGCCCGTTATTGGCATGGGATAATATACTATATACACAAGTGCGATAGATAGAAAGATATGTGTGTGGTGGAGTGAGAGAGAGAGGGGAGCAGAGCAGATTGATTGGCAGGCGCTATTTTTAGCCAGACGAACTTGATTGATTGCCGGCTCCGGGCAGGAGGAGTGCCACTCTTTATCTGCGAGCCGGGCTTGTCAAGCCTTGATTATGTAATGAGTGAAGCAGAAGCTGGTCGAGAGGAGCTACCAGTGGATACTGTATCCGTAATGAGCCCGTTGAACTTGAGCACATAGTTATCGGGCTCGGGATGGCTGGGATGGGATGGGATGGGATGGCTGCGTGCGGTATGTGCGATCGTGCGGAGATACCATATGTGTATCCACAATTCCTTAACGTCAGCGGTATAATTGTCACACGACCTAAACTGGCCCCTTGATCATTGATTGAGCGTAATAATAAAATTCAATTGGACTGCCTGCTCCGTCCGCTCTTGACTGACCCTCGGACCAAAGACCACCGAACACGGAGAGAACAAAAAGAGAATCGCATGCCCCTCCAGCCATATTTACTACTAAGTATATGCCCCAAAAAAATCGAAAACAAAAACAGATCGGGGGAACACATTCCGTATTAAAGACATAACATATTTCGGCTATTGAATGCTCTGTTATTGTTTATTGTCCGCTTCCCGGTGGCAATTGAGTAACTCGAATCCGTTTCCCTCGGAACCATTATCTCGCTTTGGGCCCAGACAGATCAGCTGGAAATATTCCATGGGACAACCAATAAATTATGTGCGAGTAGCTATCATAATTGATTGTCAGGCAGCCGGCGAGTGAAGCCGTCAACACTTTTTCGCACTTTCTCAGGGCTGTGACTTACACTCCGATAATGGTGGTAATAATGAGCGTAATGCAACAATAGCCTCAAACAAAACTGCGAGTGACTGAACATATAGTACCACAATCCGAGCATGAGCCCGTCTTATCGCCTGAGAAAGCACCGACCAAAGCAATCATCGGCAGTCCATCGTAAAGGCCACATAACCATTCCCCCATAAAGACCCGAACCCCCAGATGTCCTTATGATGCCCATTCAATAGTTGCTCACACTTCCCTCGAGTGGGCTCTGATTATGGGATTATGGCCGATCGTAAAAGCGATCATAAACTCGAGTGGATTATATTTTGGCGCCAGCAATAAAACAGATTTGATGTTCATGAAAGAAGACTCGGCAGTTCAATAGCGCTTATCTATGAATGTTTCAGCTGTGGCACACATTTGGCTGGGAATTTGGTATATTACTACTACTCTATATGTTTGATCATCGCAACGATAAATCCACATTCATTGGAAGTTAAAAACTTTTCATATTCTATAATAAAATTACAATATTTCATTTGTTTGTATTATCAATTTATTCCTTATACCATTGTAAAAGAAAGGAAAACCCTGTTTATAAGGAAGTGATCACGCCGGAAATTTAAGGTTTTGGGAATTCCACGAATCGCCTCATATCAGCGTACTGAAAATTGATGATGCCATTGAAAATGCCACACAGGAAATAATGTTGACTTAATCGACTTTACGTATATCAATAAAAATCTTTATTGTATTCCAGGAACATAAAATTGGGAAATCACCCTGATTATTATTTTCCCTTAAATTTCTCTCTGTGCATTCGATTACGCATGTGTGGTAGCGGTACTTTTCCTGGCTGAGTTGGCATGATTTGGTCAAAGCGCGATATTAAGGCAATAGGTCAATTGTTATAAATTGACATCAATGTAAAAAGCGCTCCCCGGCAGCAAGAATCGGAGGCACTGCCGCCAGAGGCACGCGCTCTCCGTTGGATTCTACACTCTGGATTCTGGGAACACTGATTCGATCAAGTCGAGTAATTAAATCACTCTGAATTACACAAAAATGATTAATCGAATAGTTTAATCTTAGGGTCAGCCGAAGTGTGCCTTGATTTTCAGACAACCATTTGGGAAAGGATTTTTGTTAAAAATTCTTATTCCAGAGTAGTATGCTACTGTTCACATTTACTTCAACAAGGATTTTCCGAAAGTATTTTCTTATAAATTTAATAGAGCGACTTGAATTCTCTCCAATTCGAATTTTTTAAAATAATTTCTTAGAGAAATATAATTATAAGCGCGAAGACAAAGACCACTTTTGTGCGGCATAACAAAAAGTGGGCCCAAATCGAGTATTGAAAACATTTTTCGGGGGCTGAATAAATTTCTTTGAGCACAAAGAATCCTGAGTCACTTTTTGTTTTGAATCGAGACTCTCGCTATAAAACAACGGAGTCAAATATCAATGAACCCGCGGCAGGCGCTTATGAAATAGGCTCGAATGTTATTTCTATATTCGCAAGTGCAGACCGGGGAGAGATCGGTTGATCGACAGCATTTATTTATATTGTTTTATTTATAATTGCCAATATATAAAACACAATGCGACAGGGAATTGAAATTCATTCAGAGTCAGAGTCAGAAAACGTGCAGGCGCCGCTGGAAGGCGCTTCAATAAACTGCAATTATCAATTTTGTGTACGCATTAAGTATACGCCGTATTAAGTATACTATACTCCACAGCAAGTACATAGAAACCTGCCATGTACATACATGCCTCAAATGTGATAAGACACAGCTACGATCAGCTATTATCAGTTAAACAAAAAATGAAGATTCCGAGCTGCGGCCGCATCTTTAGAGAAGCTTAGTTGGTAAAGTATAGAACGATACGACCCGATCTGGGCTTTCGAGCCCGTTTCGAGCCAATTTTCAGCAATTCAATGCTACTTCCTAATTGAAAAATTAAATCATCTGGGCGGCAATTAAGAAGCGACAGCAGCTCCTGAGTAATTTTTCCCAATTGAGCCATAGATAATGAGGCGGCACTGGGCTCTTTTGACGTAAACAAACGACATTGTTATTGTTTTAGTATCTATATGGCTGTAAACAAGACCTGCGGTCCCGATCTTGGGGAGCACATTTTTCGAGCATTTACATAAGCGTATTGAAATTTGTGTACATTTTGCATTATTATTTTTCGCTCAGTTTTTATTGGGTTTAAGGAACCTAAATTGATAGCCGACCGAGCGGAAAATTCTGCCTTTCTGCGGAACTCGCCAACTGGCCTTGAACTCCCCAGCAGGGAAATTTTGATTGAATCTATAGCCGGAAAATGTATCCAATAAACGATAGACCTTTTTGTGAGGAAAACGTCCCACGCTTAAATAAAAGTCTTTTCAGGCAACTACTTTCTTTGGCTTGAATATTTTTTATTGGTGAACCAACTAGGGAATCTTGCCAAAGATCATATTTTCCTTGAAAGGATGTAGGCAAAGTACACGCAAAATTCAAACTATAAGCATGTTGGTTCGAAATATTCATTAATTGAATTTTTGGTTTGTGAAAATAGTGAATCAGCACACAAAAAAACCCCTTATATAGCGATACTGCTCCTTTCCCGGGTAAACAAATCCGTAACTGTGACTCAACTCACCTCAAGCCGTTCCATTGCATCCGTAGCTTGTACAAGTTGAAGTTCATATCCGTAAACGATCGCATTTCCAGGTCGTCTAGTTGAGAGTGCGTGATCTTCAGGTCGATGTTCGTGTCGGCATTGAGCTTATTGGCCAGGCTGTCCACCACGGAGTTGAAGGACTCCAGTTTCTCGCAGGAGAGCTCCACATGGTTCCAGGCCTTGCCCGTTTCGCAGGTGCAGGGCGAGATCTCCGGACGCACCGAACACTGGAGCGATGCCAGGTGGAAGACGGTGTACATTATGGAAGTCATTTTGTCGAGTGATCCAGTCAATCACCCTCGATCGCGATTCAACAACTCTTTGGCAAGGCGAAAATATACACTTTTTTTCTCGAATTAACAATCTTTTCGGTTCACAAATCACGGTTATTCGGTTTGGATTTCGGTTTTTCGGTTTCTCGATGCCAGGACACGTTGCACTCGCTCGGGCGGCAAATTGCCAACTGTTCGAGCAGGCAGCTCGGAAAAACAAACTCGGGAAATTACCCACTAGGCGCACATATGCGTGAGTGCGGGGGTTTCCATTGCCGCTCGGTTTTCCAGCAGGATTTTCTAGATTCTCTGAACCGCTGGCATCGGATTTCAAAGCGACACTGTCACTAGTATTCTTTTTGATTTTTGCTTTTGGTTTTTGTTTTTTTAATTTTGTTTGTTTCGGATTCGGATTTGGATTTACTAAAAACACTCGCGCACACAACAAAACACTTCGGTTCAAGATCGGTTGGGTTGGGTTGGGTTAGATTAGTTTGGGCTTGGATCGATCGATCGTATCGAATCTTAACGGCTGGGATATGGAGAGCTGGAGCTGCTCCTCCTCCGCCTCCTCCTATCTGGCTAGACCTCTTGACCCGCTTGTATATAGATCGCCGATGCTCGGAATTAATCTTCTAAAAATTTTATTTGTTGATTGGTCGATCGGTCGGTCGCTTGTTTTTTGAACACCGCGAGAATCTCTGTGTATATATTATATTTATATAAGATGGGGTGGTGATCACGTCTTGATTCCAGCACGGTCTCTTTACGACTGGGAGTGGGAATAAAAGTGCTGAGGATTCTGTTGCTGCTGGCGTCGTTGTTGCTGCTGCTGCTGCTGCGGCGATGCGATATGTGTTGCTGCCGAGCGGTTGCTGTTGCTGTTGCTGCTGCTGGTGCTGCTACTACTGGCCTTACTCTCTCTCCGATCTCTCGGCTCTCTGTCGAGCAGATTGAGCGGCTTTTTGGCCAATTGGGTATCTTGAGATCGGGCTATAATTGTCCACAACACTCAATTACATGTGTTCCTGTTCTTTCGGCGCCAGGCATCAATCTCCATCTATATCTGCAACTCAATCTCGATCGCGATGTGCGATGTGCGTGTTTGTGCCCCCTTCGAGTTGCCGATGTTGCTACTTCTCCTGAAGTTGCTACTACTTCTGCTGTTGCTGTTGCTGTTGCTGCTTCTGTTGCTTCTGCCATTGGGAACTTCTTCGGAACCTAGTTCTATGTATGGGGCATCATTATATCATGGACACATGTTGGTACTCGGCACTTATATTATATATGTGCAGCTCGTTGATGCTGTTGTTGTTTTTTTTGTTTTTGTTTTACGCACTCCCAATAAATTGTCCTTTACATAGACATCTGGCACATCGCACTGAGAAATGTTTTTAATTATGACTTTCGGATCGTATCGGATCGTTAGCAGCGTTTGAATGCAACCGGCTTGTTTAAGGATCCCAGCAGCCCAATTGAGATTGGGCCAAGTGAAAATTTTCCATTGGCGCCAGTGCCAGTGATTTCAGTACTTCGAGGGGCAAGGAGTCGGTTGCCATGCATCAAAGTCCGCTGCCTTAATTTATCTGCAAGTTCTGGGCCCGCATGCATAATTAACCGCTGGGCGCCTTAAATGCGCTCGCCACAAATTCCGCAAATTCCCCGGATTGCGCGTGCCAACGATGTCTCCATCTCGTTGCCCGCTCCTCCCGTCTGCGATTCTCTGGCGGGACGGCAATTAATCATCGGGATCATCAGGCCCCTGGGCGGACGAGTGGCTTCTGTTGTCCATCCAGCACATCCGACTCCGTTTTCCACGCACACCGCAAGCTCCCTAGGAACCTTGGCACGATTTTGTTTAGGGCCGTCTGAAAGATTAACTTAATTGCGTACAGCAAGGTTCATAAAGTTATGTGTCCTTTCGGTGCCATCGTGTTGTAAACATATTTTTCTACAACCAAAACAATGTTTGATGAATGGGTTGGATTTCCATTTAAAGAAATTTACTTAAACTCTATAGCATTTATAATTCTACGAAGAAAAAGTCGCAAAATTTAAACGAAATTGCCGTGTTAAGGTTGGTTAAAAAAACTTAATTAAAAAGGAGGCTTTTATATATAATTAGAATAATCTCTTTAATGACCAAGATTAAATATATTACGAACTTACTTAAAGTAGAAAAATTTTGTCACAATCTCAAGAACTGCACTTTCCAACTGCAAAAAATGAAAAGGATTACAGTTTTGAAGCGCACTGTCACCCATAACTGTAGATGTAAAAATATACTTCGATTACGTAGCCAATTTATTTTTAGCGCCCAATCATTTTGAGTAAATATTTAAAGAAAAGCGGCAAGTATTAATAATTATTATTTATTCATATGTTTTCTTTTCTTTGCTGGTTCTCGGTATTTGTTTTTTTTTTTTTTGCACATAAATATTCTTAACATTTTTATGTGACACCTTTTCGTGTTTCGATTGCAGGCGACAACAATAACAAGAGTAGCGTAGGCTTCGGAATTCGATGACGAGGGAATTGGGTGGTGGTGTGTGGTGGTGGTGCCGATCAGATCAGGTGGTCTGATGTGGATACGCCTCCGCTGTAATGCTTCTGCTGGAGGCTCATCCATCCACTTGACTTGCTCTGCACATTCCGGATCGGTCGTCATCGGCCATCCAGCAATCATGTGCCATCGGCTCACGTCAATGCCTATTTGGCGCCGGCGAAAATATTTGGCTGGAATTTGGAATTCGGCTGTCGTCACGGCTCTGTTCTGTGTTTTCCACCACGTCACGCGACGCTGGGACGCCACCGCCATTTGGGACAATTGAAAGCATTCCTCGCCGTGTGTGGTCCCCACATCCGAATCCACTCAATCCAATTCCAATTCCAATCGCCATTGTTTCGGTTAATAAGTGTGTTTATTTTGCTCCTTCATCGCGTTTCTGTTGCTTGGGTTTCGCGTCGTGTCCCATAGTTGTGTGTCTGTGTGTGGATACATATCAGTTGGATATTATTATTCTATATAGGGTTAAGCATTTGCTAAACGTCCTCTCCGTGTGTTGGTGTTGTCGCAATCCTTGTCATCGTCGTCTCCTTGATTTAAAACAGAACTTAGCCATTAACTAAATTAAATACAATGCTTTAAAGTAAAATGTACAACAAGCACTAGGTGGCCCTCTACTTCTGCTCAGCGAACTTGGCGATCTGCGGATACTTGCTGGCCTTAAAATCCGCATCCTGTTTGATGCGCTCCTTCAAGCCACTCCGCACGGCATCCGTGTAGGAGGCCTGAATGGCGGCATCGTGGGCGATGGAGCCGATCACGGCATCCGTACTGATCGAGGAACTGGAGGCACTACCGCTGGTTCCACCCAAGCCGGCGCCCTGGATCGCCCGCTGCACTCCGTTGGCGATCAGGCACTCCACAGTGGCAGTCGGCTTTTCCGACTGAATGATCTTGCGACGCTTGGCGGACATGCCTGAGATGTAGGCATCGGAGAAGGGTGGCTGGGGTCGGCTAGCCTGCTGTAGTATATATAATATCATATTAGATTGAATTGGATTGGAATGGAATGAGGGAGGAAAGGATCTACCTCAGTCTGGGTCTGCAGGTCGCGCGTTATCACAGGCAACCAGTCGTTGGGGAAACTCATGTGCCACGGTTCCGAGCCCACGATCACGGCAGGCAGTTGCTCAACGGGAGAGCTGTTGCTACTGCTGGTGGCCACTTCCGCCATCTCCACATCCGTGTTCACAGTTTGCTGCTCCGGTTGCTGCTGCGATTGCTGCTGCGTTGGCTGCAGGTACATGAGGATAGCAAGCGGAGGTGGTGCCACGTACGGCACGTCGCGCCTGACCAGGAACTGAAGGGCATCCGATGTGAAGTGGCGGATGTGGTCTTCCGGAACCGTGGGGTCGATGAAGATGCTCAAGAACTCAAGGGCTTCGTTGCGGAAATCTGTAGGAATAATAATTAATGTCAAACATTGCTTTGCCTATAAAACGAATGCAGCTTTCTGCGGGAAATATTCAAATTTAAGAATATATACTCACTAGATCGTAGGGGTTCGCGTAGGAGGCGCATCAACTGCTGCCAAAAGAGCTCCGCATTGTCGGGGCCCAGGCACAAGAAGAGGCCGTTGAAGAGGAGGTGTCGAAACCTATCGCTGATTCTCTTGAGCTCCAGCTCGAACCGGGCACTGTCTGTTTCCTCGGAGTTCTCGTGGAAGAGCCTGATGAATGAGCCAAGGCTGAAGCGCAAGATGTTGCACACGGAGGCGCGGGAGTTAAACATCGGTTTCTCGTACTGCGGCAGATAGACCAGGCTCTCGTTGAACCACTCCACGGCTCGGTCGAAGGCAGCCGGAATCGTCTGATCGTTGATGGCTGCACCGTCGAAAAGTCTATCGTTGAGGAAGCTGCGCAGCTGCAAGCGCAGATTGCTCGAGTCTCCGCCAGAAGCTGGTGTGGCTGCAGCCGCCGCTTGGGGTGGAGCAGCAGCAGCGTGGGCGGTCGAAGCAACTGTGACTGGGGCTTCAGCTGCGGATGATGGGGTGGCTTCAGCTCCGGATGATGGGGCGGCTGAACCTCCCTCGGCGGCGACGCCGCTGCCTGCCGGAGCTGTTTGCGCATTATTTCTCAGATTATTAAGCAAAAAATTAACGAGTTGGGTGGGAAATTGTCTGGACAGGCGCCCGGTGGCGGCCTGAAGCCGCCCCCGCCGGACGGAGGTCAGGCCTCCGTTGGTGGCGCCACCGCCAACGAGGGCCGTTCGAGCCGCCAGCCGATCGCGACTGATATGCGATCCTCCCGTGGGCCGCACTCTCCCGGCTCCGGCTCCGACTCCGGCCCCATTAGTGCTGCCACCACCAACGTGGGCCGTCTGGCCACTGGTCGTGTGGGTCTGAGTCTGGGTCTGTGATTGCGATTGCGATTGCGCCCAGGCTGCCGGCCGAAGGCTGCTCATTTGCTCGCTGGCGGGTCGCAGGCGACGCCACGACCACATTGGGCGAACGCTGGCACTGCCGCGCTGGATGCGACCAGAGGTGACTAGATGATGACATGGATAGAATGGAGATTAATGTCAGAGATGGTGCCCAGTCGGCAGTCAAAATCTATGGCTGATTGGCTTTTCTCTAAATGTGAGCCTAGTTCAAATTTGGCAAAGTAATTATTAAAAGCAAAACTTATGTATTTTATACGGACATTTGCAATTTTCTTGCCATTTTAATTTTAATTGAAATTATGTTTAAATTTATTTATTAAGTTTTACTTGAGAATTATTGTTTCCATAAAAAAAATATAACTTTTGGTTTCAAAGGAATATCAATTAAATTCTGGCACTTTGAGCCCACTAGAGAATCCAGAACCCAACCTAATTAGACTGCTTTTCGGTAGACTGGCGCTATCCATCTCCGTTTGGTGAGTGTGCGGATGAAAAGGGATGGTGTGTGCGAAGTGGGATGTGGCGGGTATCGAAGACATGAAACGAAAGGCAGCAGTACTCACCAGGACGGGTTCCTGATGCGGCTGTGGGCGAGACGCCAGCGGATCCTGCAGCAGACGCTGCGTTGGTGCTCCGATTGTTGTTTGCACTGCTGACATTGTTGTTGTGGGGCAGCGGCTCCGGTTCCCTGATGTGATGACTATTGCACGGAAGGAAGCGATCGAAAGCCGTGTGTGTCGGAGCAATACGTCCGCCCCAGTTGTTGTTGCCGCCAATCTGAATCTGAGGCCTAGAGGTCGACCGCGTTTGGGTGGCCGTAGTGGGCAATGTGTTGTTGGTCCTCTGGTCTGCACCTCGTGTTCCTGCGGACGTTGAGGGTGCAGTGGGTGAATCGCCATCGCTAGCTGTAGAAGCGCCTTCTTGTGATGTCTCGGCAGCAGGGGCAGAGGGTTCAGCCGGAGCGGGGGCACCAGCTTCAGGTGCCTGACGCACGGCGGTCATGACGTGAACGGGCAAGTTAATCGACATGATATTGGGCGCATTTATTTCCACATTTCCTCGTTGTCGGCTGAACATGGCCTGAAGTATGCGAGCCACATCCGATTGGGGATCTGCAAAGCAACCAGGGTTAGTTAGGCTTTCTTTAACACAATCGCAAGCATGGATTAATCCGGTTAAAGGCTGGTCAGCAATCGAATCGAACTAACAAAGTGTGAGTGGAACTAAACAGGGGATGCAGTGAATGAGCTGGTGAAATTGGGGTAAGTCTGCCATGACTGAAATGAGTTGTGTTCAACCAAACAACCAAAACATACTGGGCGGTGGCAGGGTCACTGGCACATAGACACGCAGCCTAGGCGCTGCTCGGGTCTCTCTTTCGGGACTTTCATTTTCAGTTTGATCGTGATCGTGATCTAGAAAATCATTAACAAATTATGAAGGGACATATAAAGTACTTAAAAATGACAAATATTATATTGCAACGACCTAGAGCCTGAATCTAAGTAAAATCTTGTTTAAAAATCCCTTAAAAACCAAATGTTGGTACTCCGATCTTACCCATTTCGAGGGCTTGTTGCTCTTGTGTAAAAGGACCAGTGCCAGTTGCATTGGGTGCCACCATGGGTTCGTCGATGGGATCCTCCACGTGATCGCTGGCCAAGCCACGAGCAGCAGCGACTGCTGCACTGGCAGCTCCGGCGGCTATCTCCGCAGCGGCTATCTCCGCAGCGGCTCCGGCAGCCCGACTGGCAATCTCCGCCATGGCCGCCGCACTGCGACTGGCATCGATGGCCGCCTGCAGATTTGCGGCCTGTGGTGGACCTATTGGAGTTACTGCCGCATTGGGTGTTTGAGTGGCAGTCGCAGCCGCAGCAGCAGGAGATCCTCTGGTGCGGAAAGGTTCGTTGAGAACAGTCGGCGGCGGAGCCAAAAAGTTGGGCGTGAGAATGTTATTCGAGCGGATGTAACCGCTCTGCTCGACGAGAATGGGTCGGCAGGTGAGCACGCGTGGTCCTGGCTGTGACAAGTCCAGCATTAAGTCGGAAATGGCATGCTGGGCATGCGAAAGGTAGTGGAAGGCCTCCGAAACGCGGTCGAAAATGCGTTGGGCATCCTCACGTCCAGCGGTGTCCTAAAAAAAGTAAATTGATTATTCAAGTAAATCAGGGAATTCTCATAAAATATGGCTGGTTGACTTACATTATCCTCAAAAGTGGGATCGTTCTGGAGAATTTCGTAGTAGCGATCCACGAAGGGAGCCAAGCGCGTCTGAACTCCACGATAATGTTGTATAACTTGGGCCAAGACCTGAGGGCGAGTGCGTCGCCTGGGACCGGTGTTGTTCGCTCCCTCGCCGCCAGCTGCAGCATCACTTGCAGCTCCGTTCGAAGAACTAGGGTTCTCAGCAGCACTCGCCGGCTGACCACCAACTGCTCCTTCCGCCTCCGCCTCGGGTGTGGGCGTGGCTGAACGATCTGAAGCTCCATCAGCAGCCTCGTCGTCGGTTTCGATAACATCCTCTATGATCACAGTGGCCGCAGTGGTCTCACCACTGGCGTCGCTGGCTGTTCCCGTGGCGACTCCTTCGCCTTCAGTCGATTCTCCAGTTCTCTGCTGACTGGTTTCCCCGTTCTCGTTGGTATAAACCGTTGGTAGCTGAACCACTGTGTAGTTCCTAGCTCCAGTTCGCGAAAGTGCAGCAGTAACAGCATCCTGGACCATGTCAATAATGTTATTGTTGCGCGGCAGATCCGTCGAGGAGACACCCACTTCAACGACGGTCGACTCCATGGACCACCGACCACGCTGCAAAATGTCCAGGGATTGATTGTTTAGACCCACGGCGGGGTTTTCCAGATAGGCGGCTATATTGTCGGCGCAATCGATCATGTGCAGGGCCACTGTGATGCGGTTGATGCAGAAGGATGACGAGTTGGGATATCGACTCGGGGGAGTGCGGGTCTAAAATATTAACAAGAGTTTGATTTAATAATTCAAAGGGAATATAGCATTGATGTTACCCCTGCAACTGGGCCATTGTTTACGGGTATGGCCATGGTGCGTACCAACATGCCATCAAGGGCTCGGAAGTACGGAGAAGTACGCATTCCAGGCTGCGGTGGACGTGCCACATTGCGGAAGGGGCGCATTGGTTCGTCGTTGTTTCGTGAATTTGCGCCACGTTGCGAGAACGGCGGACGCTCAGCCACATGGAGAACCTTGCCATCAACATCTGGATAGGGGATATGGGCATATTATGTGTAAATGTGCATTACAAATGGGGTGCTCCCGGGGGCATGACTCACCGTACTCCTTCACCTGCTTCTCATCGGCCAGAACACGACCCTGGTAGATGATTCGCTGGTTCTCCGCCGCAATGTTGGTCTTCTCGGCTATTTGGTCCTTGAACTGGCGGATCGTGAGCTGGAAAATGGGCGTGTGTACATATAGTTAGAAACCACTAAATCTCAACACACAACCTCAAATATTACCTCATTGTCGATGCTAAATTCGTGGGTGCGCGCATCTAAGGTCTTAACCTTAAGTTTTATTAGCATTTTCCGGCTGGACTGCGTCGCAAATTTCTTGAAAATCTCGCTTTTCTTTCGGTTTTCCCCGTGCCGTGCAAAAAAAAACACAGTCGAAAGGTGATGGGCAAAAAGCGGGTTGCGGGGTGTGAATCTTGTCGGTGTCGCTGTCACCTGCTCTCTCGCTCGCACTCGTTACCGCTGGACTTTAGCTTTTCCGGACACGTTTCCGCACTGCTCTGATAGCGGGAAATGCCTATATGTTTTCAGCGGATCAGCGCCTGCTCTCGTATCGGGCAATATATGCTAGATATATTCAAAGGCGTGCGAACGATTTTACGATTCAACAACAGCGGAGGAGAATAATTACTGGAATTTGACAGTGTGGCAGTGTTGCCACCTCTCGCACCGAATGAGTTGCCAAATGCCATGTTACAAATAGCTAAATTGGGCGATAGTGATGAGAAATTAATATAAAATAATAACAAAATATGTTGTGTATAGTGTTTTATTGTATTCTTCACAATTAAAACCCTCCAAAATTTAAATTTTGACTCCTGGTCAAAAATGTAATTCAGGGGTCGCAATAGCTTTCTGCAATACGTAACATACTTTTACTCTACGCGTATAAAAATAATACCTTACACCGAACCGAAGACCCGAACCATGAGGTGAATATAAAAATTCACCACAGAAGTTGACCTCACAGCTTGGCGGTTATTTTGAATTCCACAGGAATATTTTAGTTTTGAAAATTGTAGATGTTTCTGAACATTACAAGTAGCCCTAAATTAACCAAATAGTAGAGGGTCTCTTGAGGATTGCCTAGAGTTCTCGCCACAAGACAAATACGAAATGAAACCCTTAAAATCGTTTAAAGAACTGCACATGAGAACAACAATTCACCCCCTTGCCACCCTTAACCTGTCCAGCTTTAACCCCCTACTGCCTTTGACTGCATCCTGTGGGAATTTTTGGGCACTGCACATGAAAAGCGGCGTTTGAGTAATAAAGAAAAGAAAACACGGAAAACAGGGGGAAAGTCAGCCAAGACGCAAAGGTGTAGGGCAACTTTTCGCTTTGAATATTTAAGTGGCGCTGTGGCATCGGTAGTGGAAGTTAAATAAGCAGAAGGCAGCTGAGGAAAGCCAAACGCAGCTAACACAATTTTTCGCATACCCCTTCGCCGGAATTGTGCGGAAATTTGATTTAATGTCTGCGATTGTGAGCCTTTCCACGGGCTCAAAGTGATTCCGACGGGCCCTCATTTTCCGGGATAAAAAGAAGCCGCGGAAATGGGCCTTGGCAGATTGTTTTGCTCACCATGGACTTTGTCTGCTTTCTCAAGGTTTTTTTACAACCAAATTGTTATTGTCCTAATACTCAGTTAAATATATTTAGGTTATAGTTTTAATACTGTATGCAAATTGGTTTAATTAACTCAATTCCTTCGTGAATGAAAACCTTTCGATGTTTCAATGGTTTTTACTAATTACAAACATTTAATTTTATTAAGATACTCTTGCCTACGCTTCTTTTGAAATATGGCTTCAAATAATATTCATAAATTGTAATTATCACAATTTTTGACCAACTTTTCGCTGGCCAAGTGCAAGTATTACAATTTACAAATTGCTTTTAAATGGGCTGTAAAAAAGTTTTAATGAGTTTTCCACACAGCAGTCCTACTCCTAAGCACTCTGTACACACAGCCGCCCACCGCCTTGTCAACGATTTCTGTTTATGCATTTTCATTTTCATTATCATTTTCCTTTTTTCAAGCAGCACTGCCCTCTCGTTTTCCGCTTTCCATTTGTTATTAAGCGAGCGCTTTCCGTTACTTTTATTCGCTTTTTTGCAGCAAAAGTTTTCCTGAAAGTGGGTCGCTGGGGGGGCGGTGGGCGTGGTCGCACATTGAAAATGTTTTGGGGGAAAGGTCGCTTAATGAAATTATATCAATCGGGCCGATCAGCCGCCCCTAAGTCGCTGTTCCTGGCAGCTGGCAAATGACATTTACTTTTTCAATTGTTCATATTTTCATTAAGCGACATTTGAATTTCCCCGAATGTAACCTGCAATCATTTCGCTTCAGAATCAGATTCCAGCTCGAGTTGCTTTGCTACCCCGCACCGCGTGATTCCATTTCTAATTTCGGTCTGGTCAAGAACAGGGCCCAAGAGCAGGTCTCACGTCAAATTAAATCAAGCTGTAATATAAAGAAAATTGAGCCAAGTCCCCTTTGTGCCATAAAGCACGGAGAGCCAAGGAGCTCGGTAGTTCAAAGGGGGATGAACAAGGCTCGCCTTGGCAGTGGGTGAAAGTGGGTGGTTTCCCAGCTGATTGGCAATATAACACCAGGAAAATTCAGCATGCATGATGGAATTTAACCCGCGTGAAAGATGCTCCTGCAAAAATACAATATAAATGCTAGTTATTTTTCAAACGTCTTTAAAACTTAAGTTTTGATTATTCGATAATTTACAGGAAAAAAGTAATTATTTATTTTAACTTGTAAATTTTATTTAGACTATACACTATACGGAATCTGGCTTAAATCCCAACAAACAACTTCAATAAGTGCGGACTGGGAGGGGTGAAAAAAATGTTTCAGCTGCCACTTGTAATTGCCAGTAAATATTTTCGAGCTGCCAAATGGCAACTGGCCTGGCCTCATAAATACAACCGCCAACTAACCGTTCGAATTTATAGTCAACACTTAATCTAAGCTGTCAATGGGGATGCAACAGCAGCGCAGAGAACAACAAGAACTGGGGCGCCAGGGGGTTAAGTGGGAAACCAGTAGTATCGTAATTGGCGGGGATTACGACAAAACGTAAAAGTGCAGAACGGCACGTGAATGCGGAAGTTGTGCTCGGAATTGGCCAAAGTGAAGAAGTCGTAAAGTTTTAGTTGCATTCTGCTGACTTCGCCCTCGAACTGGACGCTTAATTTATGTTTCAATTCCAATTAGCCAACGAGGCGCGGGCTTTTATGCTACTCTCCTTTTTTTTTTGCTCTCAAATGTACAGGGAAAAATTTGAGATTGTTATTGAAATTGTGAATTTTATATAATATAATTTTTAACATTCTTTGAATATTATATTTTATACTATCGACATTCAAGGTGTTTTAATGTTTATGTTAGAAATAGTTTTTTAAAAAAATGACTAGTTCTTTAATACGGGTTAAATCTTCAAGAATTTCAACAAAAAATTTTATCTTATGGAAGGTTAGGAACAGTTAGTTGGTAATTTGTTTTGTTGTGTATCTTGGTAATTGACTTTCGGCCTGGCCCTGACGCGTCATTTGTAATTGTATATCAGCACGAGGAGCAGAGACGAAAGCAGCGTTTATTAGCCATGGCCAAATGCAGCTAATTGAAGTTCAAATTGCGTTGGCGCATGAGTTGAGAAGGCAAAGGAAACCGTTGAAATGTAAGCACTCACATGTGATTCCTGTCGGTTCAATAAAACGTTAAGTTCAGCCAGACGACAATGCAGACGTAAACGAAGACGAATCCACTTTCGGGCCAAAGCGAAGAAAGCAAGCAAGGCGAAAGCCAATTCAACACTCAAACACAATCAGCAAAGAAAGCTGAAAGCTGGGAAATAAAATCAAGCATAAATGCAATAATACAATTTGTGTGCCGAATTTCATAAGGACCATAATGGACACACAGGCACACACACTCCCCGCTCCTTAATCCCCGCAATAAAGATATGTGTATCGAAGTGGGGCCAACAAAGGTGACTTTCTCAAGTTGGCCGGCAATCGCTGTAATCGTAATCGCATTTGGCGCCGAGTTGTTGGCGCTATTTGCTATTTGCTATTTGCTATCTGCAAGTGTGTGTCATTTTCCCCCGGCAGTCAAGGCAACAATGTCCCCAACACTTGCCAACCGGACATCCGGTCCATCCAGCCATCCATCCCTCCATCCATCCCTCCATCCATCCATCCATCTCCCCATTCTCTGTCTCGTTTGGCAAGTTAACAACATTGGCTTGACGTTTGCCAATTGCATTATGACTCAATTGTGAGCTGAGCGATTTCACGGACCAGTCAAAGAATCAAAGAGAGGCAGTCGCTTCAACGAGGCAACTTCAACTCGAGTGTCGATCCATTGAAGTTGCGAAACGGAAACGGAAACGGAAAGGGAAACGGAAATGGGGAACTTTTAAGAGCGACTTAATTTCAGCTTGATCGAAAACAAGAAACAATTTTACAATTTTTAAGGCTTACTATTTTAAATTCCAAAATACTACTTGTTTCCCAATGTGCCTTTCAATATATTTTTTTGTCCAGTAATATTATTTATTAAATATTAAATTATTCTTTCTAAGTATGTGGCTTGTTTATAGTTAAAATGTGCCTCTACTTTTAAGATGCAAATAAAGTATATCATGAATAAGCTATTAATGTTTTTACTTTTGAGTCGTGAAGATACAAATAATCACAAATATTTCTGTGGAACAGTTACACTCCAATCGAAAGGCTTGAAGAGCAGGCGGTAGAGAAAATGCATTAACAATTTGGCAGCGGCGTTAATGCATCTCCGATGGGCCATAAATCGCGCTGGCCGCCATATGTTTGGGCCACTTGATGGCCCTTCAGCGCTGAATTGTAAGTTGCCATCACCACAATCGCAAGCAAAATCCGTGGAATGTGGAGCAAGTGCGCCGAGTGCACAGACCTAGCTCGACTACGGATATTCGAGCATTATGCAATGCCTAGGCCAAAGTCTTGGGCCCATTTAACTGGGTCGTCGACACGCCCTTCTCCAGTACATATATCTTGATGTATATATACTTCGTTCCCCGCCTTGTGCGGCTGTCACTTGGAGCTGGGCAATCGTAAATTGATTTGCCACGATCGAGGGATAGAGAAATGGATTTCTGAAAGTCACGCAAAGCCAGCGAGCTGAAACGAGTTTCAGTTTTTCGGGGGCGCACTCCCCGATTATGAGTAATTGGCATTGCGCTGGTCAGGGCTTCTATATATGGCCTAACCGCCGACTTATCCAGCACAGTTGCCCCAATTGCCTCACCCATCGACATGGCTCACACTCAGTTCCTCGGCGTCGCCTCCAGTTTGCTGCTCCTCCTGGCCTCCACCCGGGCGGGATTAGTTGCCCATCCGGGCGTTGGTTACGCGGTGAGCGATGAGCACGCGGTGGCCCACACCCAGCAGAACGTGGTGAGGAGCTTCGACGGCACCGTCTCCCACTACGCCAAGTCCCTGGCCACGCCCTTTTCGCAGGTGCACAAGCAGGACACGCGGATCAGCAACAACGTCTACCAGCCGGCGGTGGCCAAGACCTTCAGCTACGCTCCCGCTCCGGTTCCGGTCTCGATCCCGGCTCCGGTCCACTTCCAGCACGCCCAGCCGGAGCCATCGCAGCTGTTCACCCAGGCATCGCCGGTTTACCAACAGCCCGCTCAGATTGAGACCTCTGCGATTCACCATCAGGCCGCTCAGGTCGAGGGTCTTTCGGCTTACCACCAGCCCGCCCATGTCCACACTCCCTCGGTTTACCATCAGCCCGCTCAGGTTCAGAGTCCCTCGGTTTACCATCAGCCATCCCACTACGGCCACCAACCCGCTGTCATCCAATACTCTCCGGCGGAGACCGTTTCCCACATGAGCTTCGATGGTTTCGGTACCCACTATGGATTCTGAACTAGTTTAAATAAATTAGAATAACACTAATTACATATATGAACGCTTTACAAAATATATATAAAACATTAAAAGTGATTTCATTTTGTAAAAATGAATATTATCATTTAAAAGCAACATAACTCAAAACAACATGTAAAATAACGTCCACTCCTTCATAATCCATAACGATTGCATCGTGTCCACTGCATTTGGCCACAGACTCCAATTCCAATGCTAACTTATCCTGCCTGTGGTTCTCCCACTTACTTATCACTCACGTTCGAAGGCGGCGTAAACAAATCATAAAAACCCACAGAAAGTGCACCCAACAAATAGCCCCAAGTAGGACATTAGCTCTGGTCCTTACACCAGTCCGTGATCCTTGGCCGGACGGAGGGGGATTTGAGGGGGTTACGTGATTTGTGCAGCGCAAACTTAAAAATCGGACATGGAAGCTACGTGACTTGCATGGCAGCCAGCGGACCCAGGAGCCTTTGAAAGGACGAAGGACCCTCAATCGGCGTGCCTTATGAACTAATAAGATTTTTCCCATCCTCGTAAATTATGCACATTGACAACTGTAATCGGGAAATTGAAATCAGATTTTTGCAGGCTCATTAATTTTGCAAAAAAAAATCAGAGAGAAAAGAAAACTCTCAAGAAGGCGGAAGCAAACGGAAAACTCTCCAAATGCCGGAGTCAATAATCAATTTTTGTCCTCTGCCTTGGTATCTCTGGATAATAGCTTCATTAGCTGGCTATCAAAGTAATGGCCAAAATGATTACCAGAAAAGGGCCAGGCACTTCTCGAGTGAATTTGTGAATTGAGAAACTGAGCAAAAGGCTAAAATTTGCAAAAAATGAAGCCATAAACTCCGCTCAGCCGGCATCCTCCAGGACCTTCTGCCTTCCCCCTTTTTGGGGCAACCGCTTCTGTCCGCCACTTGAGTGCTAAAAGGCGCAATGATAAAATATTTGCCCGACCGAGGCAAGTAAATTTGTTGGCTAAAAAGTTGCAACGGCTAACAAAAAAGCGAGAGACGAAGAAAGGCCGAGCCGCTAGTTGTTGTTTTTATTTAGCTGTTGCGGTTAAAGTTTTTCCACTTTTCATCGCCAGGACATCGTCCAAAGGAAAGTTTAGCAAAATAAAAATGCAAAATGCCCTCCCAGTAAGACGTATTTATCAACATAATTACATTTTTTAATGGCCCTTTAAACCGCAAAATGGCAAAGCCGCAAAGCGAGATGAAGTCGTAGCGGCAAAATGCTAGAAAATGGTGAAAACTTACTTTACTATCAGCATTCTTTGGCTTTTCTTTGCTCGAGATAATATTAACCAAATAAGACCTCTAAATAAAATGGTTTTTATATTGTGTTAACAGAGGTAAGTGTCTTGCATTTCTTTCTTTGTAATTGTTAGTTCACTTTTGTAATCTTATCAGTTATCAGTTGGTTGACCTGCATTAAAGTATTATAATTTACTTGTAGATAAATAGATACAATTTTCAAAAGTCATTTAAAATATGAGAGCTGAGTGGTTTTTCTAGAAAACCGCAATAGAAATTAATTTCTCTCTCTGGTGAAACCCACCTGGTATCGTAATTGTCGTGGGTTTATTGGAACTGTGTTCAATAGTAGTAAACACATCGCTGTGTATATATAATTAAATACCTATAAATAACAAAAATATAAATGTATGTATAATATAATTTTTCCACAGTTAAAAACCAGATTAATATAAAAATCTGCATACATATGGTATGGTATTAATAATAAATCGGGGCATTGCATTGTAATCGGTTGCTTTCCAATCAATAGAAACTCCCAGACTGTCAACGCTATATACGATCGTGTTCTGGTCAGTCAGCTTTAGTTCCAAGTCCGTCGGCTCTTCGGCAAGATGTTGAGAGTTCTGTGCCTAGTTGTCGTGCTTGTGGGGATTATAGATCCGTTCGTGGAGACGAAGAGCATCCCGCGGGTCAGTCCCAATCTCCAGTTGGATGCCTACCTCAGCTACGATGGAATCATGCAGTACCTGGATCAGTTGGCCATAGCCTATCCCGATCGGGTGACCGTAAAGAAAGCGGGTTCCTCCTACGAGAACCGTGACGTTAAGGTCGTCGAGATAACAAACGGAGATCATCGACCGGGAAAGAGGGTTATCTTATTGGACGCCGCCCTTCACGCGCGTGAGTGGATGACTCCCGCCGCCGCCCTCTATGTCATTCACCAGCTGGTGGTGGAGTTCCAGCAGAACTCCGATCTCCTGGCCGACTTGGATTGGCACATAGTGCCGCTGGCGAATCCGGATGGCTACGAGTACTCCCGCAATGTGAAGTCAATGTGGAGGAACACGAGGCGACCAACTGTTGGCAATTGTATTGGTTCGAATCTAAACCGAAACTTTGAAGTGAACTGGGGAATAGGTTTTCCGGAACTAAAAGATCCCTGTGATGAGAACTACGCTGGCCCAGAACCCTTTTCCGAGGTTGAAGCTCGTATAATTCGCGATATAATGCAAGATTTGGTGTCGAGTAAGCGGGGTGTCATGTATCTTTCCCTGCACACGGCAAACCGCTCGGTCTTCTATCCTTGGTTCCACAAAGAGTGAGTTGAAATTACTTTTTATGTAACAGTCTTTAGTGTGATGCTAAATATCTAACCTGAAAAGTATAAAACTTGAAGGCTTAGCTTCGAATTGATTACTCTTCTTGCAGGATCCAAGTTCCCAACTATGATGAACACGTTGAAATTGCCAATTTCGTCTCTAAAAAGATATTGCAAAGCACCGGCACTATCATAAAGACGCCCCAATATGCCATATTTGCCGGAGTTATCGGGGGAACCAGCGTTGATTACGCCTACAATTTGGGCTTCCCCCTTTCCTTTATCTTCGAGATATCTGGAACTGGGGAGGATCATGTGCAGTACAAATTCTTCCCTCCGCCACAGAATATTCGCCGTCTGGCTGACGAGGGTTGGATAGGGATTCGCGCCTTTGCCGAGAAAGTCATGGAAAAATATCCGCCCTCTAGGGAGATTACTTACGAAAAGCAACTACCAGAACCAGAACAACTATCCAAAATTGAAGTTCCATAGCTAAAATGGTTTCACTGGATTTTGGGATGATGGAAAAAATAATTTAATAAACAAGTTCTGCATAATATATCATAATATAATATATATATAATATATCAGCTTTGTTTCTTAGCAATAAACTATTTTTGCCTTCTCGATAATAGTTTAAATTTAAACATAATTTTTTATTTCAAAATACATTGCTTTAATCTTTGTTTTACTCTCAGTTGGAGTCTTTAAAATAATTTTAACATCCAATGGTGGCCAGTTAAAATCCCATCTTAAATCCATTCATCCAGTCTTCATCCATCCTTTTTGAATCTCTTGCTAAGTGGCCTGCCTTTCTTGGTTTTTTTTCTCATCTGAAATCAGTTTACTGACCTACAAGTTAAGTAAAGATTGATCAATAGATTGTAATATGAAAAAAACGTTTTACACAGTCATATAAATGTGGGAATATTTTTAAAGAGAGTCATCTTAATTATAAGAGCTCACTGGTTTCTCTTGTAATTGCAAATTATTTTTTTTAGTTGCGATGCAATTTTTGTCTCTCTGGTGAAACCTGTTATTCTCATTGTAATTGTATTATTTAATTTTGCGGAGAAAATGTTACATATATAATTATTTTGTATTAATAAAAATTTAAATTTATATGCGGTTTTCCCATATAAATAAAAGTGAATATAAATAAATGTAGAGATAACTCTCTAACCTTTAATAAAATATTAATCCGGGCATGGCGTGTTATCAGTCTCTTGTGAATCAATTGAAACTCCCAGCCACTCAATGCTATATATGATCGCGTTCTGATCAGACAGATTTAGTTCCCCATCCGTTGGCTCTTTGGCAAGATGTGGAGAGTTCTCTGCGTGATCGTTTGGCTCGTGCTGATTTTGGATCCGTTCGTGGAGACGAAGAGCATTCCGCGGATCAGTCCCAATCTCCAGTTGGATGCCTACCTCAGCTACGATGGAATCATGCAGTACCTGGATCAGTTGGCCATAGCCTATCCCGATCGGGTGACCGTAAAGAAAGCGGGTTCCTCCTACGAGAATCGTGACGTTAAGGTCGTCGAGATAACAAACGGAGATCATCGACCGGGGAAGAGGGTTATCTTATTGGACGCGGCTCTTCACGCGCGTGAGTGGATGACTCCCGCCGCCGCCCTCTATGTCATTCACCAGCTGGTGGTGGAGTTCCAGCAGAACTCCGATCTCCTGACCGACTTGGATTGGCACATAGTGCCTCTGGCGAATCCGGATGGATACGAGTACTCCCGCAATGTGGAGCCCCGTTGGAGAAATACGAGGTCACCAAATGTTTACAACTGCGTCGGCACGAACCTAAACCGAAACTTTGGCGTTGACTGGGGAATAGGTTTTCCGGAACTAAAAGATCCCTGTGACGAGAACTACGCTGGCACAGAACCCTTTTCCGAGGTTGAAGCTCGTATACTTCGCGACTTAATGCAGGATTTGGTGTCTAGTAAGCGGGGTGTCATGTATCTTTCCCTGCACACGGCAAACCGCTCGGTCTTCTATCCTTGGATTCATGCTGAGTGAGTTGAAAGGATGTTTTGTATGCTACCAGTCTTGACTGGGATGCTAAACAACTTACTCCTGAAAAGTATTAGGCTTGAAGTCTTAGCTTCCAATGAATTACTCTTCTTGCAGAACGCCAGTTCCTAACTATGATGAACACGTTGAAATTGCCAAATTCGTCTCTAGGAAGATATTGCAAAGCACGGGCACGATTATAAAGACGCCCCAATATGCTCGATTCGCCGGAATAATGGGGGAACTAGCGTTGACTACGCCTACCACGTAGGCTTCCCCCTTTCCTTTGTCTTCGAGATGTCGGGAACTGGAGAGGATCATGTGGAGTACAAATTCTTCCCTCCACCCCAGAATATTCGCCGTCTGGCCGGCGAGTCGTGGATAGGGATTCGCGCCTTTGCCGAAAAAGTCATGGAAAAATATCCGCCCTCTAGAGAGATTCCTTACGTAGAAAAACTTTCAGAACCTAAAATTGAAGCTAATGGTTTAAGAAAAAAATAGTTAAAATAGTGGCAATGATAATGAAATGAAATAATAATTGTTTGCTGAATTTTTTTAATAAACAAGTTCTGAATAATATCAGTTCCTTAGTGATTAACTCTTTTTCCCCTTTCCCATGCTAGTTTAAATTTTAAACATTTATTTCAGTATAAATTGTTTTTTTTTCTGTTCCGGTGCCTTGAACAACATAGCTGACTCTCAGTTGGACTCTTTAAAATAATTTTAATACCCAGTGGTGGGCAGTTGAAATCCCATCTTGCATCCATCCATCCAGTCTTCACCCGTCCTCTTTGACTCTCTTGCATTACGCATACGCCTCGTTGTCCGCTCGTTTGCACTTGCTATCAACGTGACTTGGCCGCTCCGTTGGCGCGGAAAAGGGCAGGGGTTTTCGGGTGGAGGAGTCCGCATATCACTCGCATTGTCTGATACATTTCACATGCTGCAATTAACGCAACAAATTGCATTTTTAATATGCAAAATTAATGCGGAAAATCTTTCTGTGCAGCAGACACGGAACGCGAGATATAACCAAGCATTTTATTTATAACAGTCATTGTGAAAATTGAAAATCCACATTCGGTCTACAATTAAAAACACTTTTCGCCTGCATGTGCATATGCACACCCGCTCCCCTTTTCTGTTTTCTGTGTGTATAGTGTTGTGTGAGTATTTAAAATAATAAAATGCCATTACAAAGTCAAAGTTGCCTGGCCCAGGAAGCTGCTGTTAATTAGTTTTTTCGAAGGCAGCCCTCCGACGACCGGCTGACGAGTCCAGCCATCTATCTGCCCATCTAGCCATTCATGCACTTTCCCGCGCGGGAGTTGGGTCAAATGTTTTAATTTCCGCACGAATGTCTCTAACGGAAATTACTTAAAAAAAAAAAAAAGAAAAGTTCGCGACCCGGGGCGGGTGTCAATCGCCTGAAGAGCGACACTCGTTATCTTGCCTCTGGGCTGGGAATAATTACCAGCAGTTCGAGCACTTAATAATCCCGTCCGCTTGCACTCGCTTAAAATAGTCTCCGCAGATTAGCGCAATCATCGCTCGAGAGCTTGGCTGCATGCACTTTGAGTTGGATTTGAATCCGAATCAAAATTCGATTAGATACACGTACATGTCGCTCTCAGAACTCGGATCGCTTGGATCGTTCGGCTTTGTTGCGGCCACTCGTCGATTTAGAGTGCAAAATGCTGCTGTTCTTGCTGGTTGTGCTGCTTTTCGTCGCCGGATGGATCGTTCATCTTGGCCAGGCCGATCGTCGTCGGAAAGTGGCCAATTTGCCGGGACCCGTGTGTCCGCCACTCATCGGCGCCCTCCAACTTATGTTCCGTTTGAACCCGAAAAGTAAGCAGAACCCATAAAACAAAACAAAAATAGATTAATCTATTTTAGTTAAATAAAACAGAATAGTATTTACTACTTTTGTTTTTACTCATTCATCTCTAAAAGCTGTTCGTGACTGCTTTTGTTTTTACGATGCAGATAAGAAATTACGAGTGTTCAGTTCATTTATTCATGTTATTTTGCAAAGTCAAAAACATGCAAATGCAAAATCAAAAAAGTTCTCCCTCTCTCCCTTTTCTGATTTTTTGCAATATTAAATAGTAAAGTGTTGTTTACATTTGTCATGCTTTCTTATATATTGATATTTCACTAGACAGGTTTTTAAAAAACCGGATTAAAAATATTAGAACTTTGCTTTACGAGAAGTGCAAATATTATCAACAAATTTAATGGTACCAATATACTAAATTTAGTAAAGATAATGCCAGGCAATTAAATACTTACCTAAGAGATTAGAAAATCATAATCTTTAGCTAATAATACTTATCACTTTCGATTTGAACAAACATAAACAGCAGATTACCTGCGAAATTATTGCATTATCGGTCAACCGTTTATGAATGGTTGGTTATGAAAAAAAAAAACATTTCTTATCAACAGGAATTTCTAAATAAAAAATAAAAGCAAAAAGAAGGCATGTCAGTGTAGAATGGATTTCTATCCTGAAAATTTATTAAAGTAAAAATTATCAAGGTCCTCAAAACAGTTGAATGAGAGTTGTATACTTTTTTTAGCTTTTCTGAAGTTGGGTCGCCAGTACGTGACTGAATTTGGTCACCTGCAGCGAGTGTGGGTCTTCAATCGCCTGCTGATTATGAGTGGCGATGCGGAGTTGAACGAGCAGCTCCTGAGCAGCCAGGAGCACCTGGTGAAGCATCCGGTCTACAAGGTCCTGGGTCAGTGGCTGGGCAATGGGCTACTCCTCAGCGATGGGAAGGTGTGGCACCAGCGCCGCAAGATCATCACTCCCACGTTCCACTTTTCGATCCTGGAGCAATTTGTGGAGGTGTTCGACCAGCAATCCAACATCTGTGTTCAGAGACTGGCTCAAAAAGCTAATGGTGAGGAATTCGATGTCTACAGAAACATTTGTGCCGCAGCCTTGGACATTATTGCTGAAACGGCTATGGGCACTAAAATATATGCTCAGGCCAACGAGAGTACTCCTTATGCGGAGGCAGTTAATGAGTAAGTACTATTAAGTACTACTAAAAATATAAATACTTTATTTTTCCTTTTAGATGCACTGCCCTGTTGAGCTGGAGATTCATGTCTGTTTACCTGCAAGTGGAGCTGCTCTTCACCCTCACCCATCCTCATCTGAAATGGCGTCAAACCCAACTCATCCGCACCATGCAAGCTTTTACCATTAAGGTTATTGAGCAGCGTCGTCAGGCGTTGGAGGAGCAGCAGAAACAATCGAAACTTGTGGACACCGCCGACGAGGATGTGGGCTCTAAACGGCGAATGGCCTTGTTGGATGTCCTGCTGATGTCCACTGTGGATGGAAGGCCTTTAACCAACGATGAAATTCGCGAGGAGGTGGACACATTCATGTTCGAGGGTCACGATACCACCACGAGTGCTCTTTCCTTTTGTCTGCATGAGCTCTCGAGGCATCCGAGGGTCCAGGAGAAAATGCTAGAGGAGATCCTGCGAGTTATTGGCAACGATCGCAGCAGGCCAGTCAGCATTCGGGATCTTGGGGAGCTCAAGTACATGGAGAGCGTCATTAAGGAGTCGCTGAGGATGTATCCACCTGTGCCTATCGTTGGCCGCAAACTACAGACTGACTTTAAATACAGTAGGTGTATCTTAAATTCAAATAATTTGTAAAGCAAATGCAACAAAATTCCTTTTAGCAAACTCCAAATACGGAGATGGAGTAATCCCAGCTGGTTCAGAGATCATAATCGGAATCTTTGGAGTCCATCGACAGCCGGAGACCTTTCCCGATCCCGATGAATTCATTCCCGAGCGCCATGAAGAAGGAAATCGCGTTTCCCCCTTCAGGTTCATTCCCTTCAGTGCCGGACCTCGAAACTGCATTGGCCAGAAGTTCGCCCAGCTGGAGATGAAGATGATGTTGGCCAAGATCGTGAGGGAGTACGAACTCCTGCCGATGGGTCCTCGCGTGGAGTGCGTTGTGAACATCGTCCTTCGATCGGACACGGGATTTAAGCTTGGAATGCGCAGGCGCAGCAGTACATAACTTTTAAAGGTTTACAGGGAATAGGTATTATAGTTTATGACTGAAAAGACAATTCATTAAAGTATAAAAATCAAAGGCGACATATATGTGATTGAAAATAAAAGGATGTAGGTATATTAATTAATCTTCTTTTATTTATTTTATTCTAATTATTTCTGAAGATAACAGTTAAGTTAGTTTCTGCAGAATTCCTAGATCCTCTTTCGTCATTTTATTAGATAAATAATAGTTAAACACTGCTATCGTGGCTTCAAAGCCAACTGGAATCCATTTGATGATCCCAAAATTAACCGCAGATCCAATCTTATCTCATCGCCGTAGGGTAACAGTTCAAAGTGAGTAATAATTGGAGCTAAAAGAGTCTTTAGAAGATTTAAACTCAAATTTCTGGCTGGACAACAGCGAGGTCCCAAACTAAAACTCAAAAGTTCTGGAGGAGAGTTTAAAAATCGCTCAGCTTCAAAGTTTTTGGCTTTTGGATATCGGTTTTCATTGCGCTGAAGTTCAAAGAGATTGATATAAATCTCAGAACCATAAGGCAGATCTCCATCTCCAACAATACTGTGTGCTGTTTGGGGAAAAAGTGTTCATGTTTAAATAAAATAATATACAATATCACTCATACGCACTGTAGGGAAAATCCTTTTTAAGCTGGCGGCCAACTATAATTTGTGGGGGATAGAGTCGCAGGGTTTCCTGTATCACAGCTGTTAAATAAGAAAGCTTCTCCAAGTCCCATCCTTGATCTTTGATCTGAGCTTGATTTAACTCATCCAAACACTTTTGTTGCACTGAGGGATTTCTTGCAATTGTAACCAGGGAAAAACAAAGTGCTGAACTGCAGAGCAGATAACCCAAGTAATTACAGGTGTTTAGTTCGCCGCAGATTTCCTCAATTGTTAACGTGGGATCTTTACTTTCTAAAAGAATCTCCAACAGAGATTCATGCCACTTTTGAGGAAGCGGTTTTTGATGATCGAGAACCAAACCATTGCCTATCTTAAGATCCTTTTGTGTTTGGTATCTAGTGATTAAATCCCTATGTTCCTCGTTCAGTCTTTTTATTAGTCGATTTTGAAGGCTTCTCATAAAGGGAGAGCTTAGCCAATAGTTGAATCTATTGGCTGATTGTAGGCTTAAAAAACGTTTTCTATAGAGCTCTGATAAACTGAAAAATGTAAAATATATTAAGATTATAAAACACACACGGAGTTAAAGGAAACTTACTCTGCTATGTTCTTGGAATATTCTTCACTGGGACTTAAACCGCAGTTTATTTTCACCATCACCTCTAAGACATTGGGAGCCACAACTTCCCAAATATTAAACACCTTTTGGTCTGCCAATTCCAATAAATTTTGCTGCAATTTCTGCGCCTGTTGGCGACATAATTCCATCAGCTGAATCGAATTCCCTTTGCCAAAGAGCCCGCTGATAAGTAGATGTCTTTTTTGCCACTGATCCGACTGACACATTAGAACACCGCCTCCCAGCCAATCCTTCATCAGCTCATATCCCGTCTCCAAGTGGTTTTCACTTTCTAAAAGCTGTCTGCTGAGCTCCAGATCAGCTAAGGGTATAAAAAGCCGATGGAATATCCAACAACGGCTCAAAGAACCATATTTGGTGAGATACTCTGTGCTGCGCTGAAAGAAATCTACCAGAATTAAAGAGAAGTTTTCAGTTGGTTTTAAGAAACTACAAACTTTTTGGCTTGAGGAACAGCAGCTTGTGCATTGATCCCACCAGTGGCCAGGTGAAGGGTCCTTTGAGATTCCTGATCAGTCCTCTCTGCCGACAGGTCCTGAAGTAGTTGAAGGCCGAGGCCAGGCAGAAGCACACGAATGTGGTGGTCAAGATCATGATTCCAACTGAACTTAAACAAGGAACCCGCTTCTCTATGCTAATCGCAACGTATCGCAATCAACTGCATCCATCCGCCTCTCGGTTTATTGCCGTTCGAGGGGCAGTTATAATCTCCAGGGGGCCTTAAATTCCACCCAATCTTATCGATGGCAAGTCCCTTGTTTGGCGAAAAATAAACAAAGCGATAGTTTAATCTCCGGATAAGCTTAGATAAGTTTTATATAGAACTCTTTTTCACTGTGGTATTAATGTGCACAGTGGAAAATGAAAAATTAATTTAGACTTGATTTGCATGGATAAGTGATAATTTTGTATACTCCTAACATATTAATACTTAAGGTTCTTAATTACTGGAGTAATTTGTTTCATAAATTAAGTTTAATAAGCACAGCTAATTTTATTTCCTATGATTTTTTCTAAGAAGTTAGCTTGTAATTTTCATATTATGGGTTCCACAAAATGTTGCTAACGGACTTGACAACATGTTGCTAAGATGAAGTACATACATAAATACTTTAAATCAACGAAAGCTGTGTAATTCAACACTTGTAAATTAAAACAAATATTCAAGATTATTCCTAACAAAATATTTCTCTTATTGCCTTTGAGTTTTATTAGCTACCAAAAACATTTTCCAAGTCATAATTTTGGTTACCCAAATGGAGAGTTTGGATAGCGAGCTAACAAGTGAACTTGATTGGCCAAGACGAAAATTACCAATACCCAGTGGAGGCGTGGGGAGATGGCATCTATAAGATATGTGCGCCATCTGTGCGATACAAGATACAAGATACTCGTGCGTGAGCCTTGACTGATAAATATTTAAATACTTACTTAACATTTATTGCTGCTGGGACGGGGACAAGATTCGAAACTATTAAACAAACCAATTTGAGGCAATCGAGTGGGGAGGACAACAAAGGACGAAGGACGAAGGACAGATGGACAGGGGGAAGGACCTGCGGGCATAAGCAGCTGTTGTCCCGTCGAGCAAACAAATCTTTTGTCTTTTGCCCGATTGCGGTTGCCGGGGTCACCGGCGAGGGTTGGTCAACCCTTTCAGGAGTTTCATGAGTTTCATGAGTTTCATGAGTTTCATGGGTTTCAGGACTTTCAGCAGTTCCAGCAGTTGGACTGTCGACTGTCAAAAGTACATTTGCCTTGGTTACGCCACAGAAATATCCCCCAAGCATGTAATGACAATATCAGCAGGCCTTCCTTTCCCCCTTCCACTTGCACATCTTGTATATCCTTGCCCTCGGGGAGTTGGAAAGCTGGGGTGTTCGAGGAACCGAGCCGAGTTTGTTGTGTTCCATTTTCATTTTGCGGCGTTGATGAAACTTTAATGACACTCCTCCGCACGCATTCAGGAGGCAGATGCAGAGGAGCAGGAACAGCAGGCCATGTGTCCAGCTTCGTTTTTTGCCAGGAAACGGGCAGAAGGCCCGGCATTTTTCTGCACAATTTCACTTTGAGGCAAACAACAGACAAAGCCGGCTAATGGCGGCTAATGAAGCCAGTTTTATTGGGGATTTTGCGGACCGTTGAACCCGGCCGGCCAGCCGCACTCCCAATTTCCCCAGTCGGCCGTAGTGTGTGAATGTATTTATGAGGCCCCCGTATTCAGGTATTCATACGTCAATGTCACGACTCGCAAGTACAAGGACTCGCCGGCCGGAGTCGAGTGCAATGGCCAGCGGCCACGTGGCCAACACCAACCACTCCGCAAAACCACCGTCTCGCGTATGCAAATGAACAAAAAATTTGATGACAGCGTCGCCGGTGACAATGAAAAGTACAATGAAAAGTAGCGAACTACAAAGCCAAACAGTCCGAGTGTTACGCAAAAACAGAGAACACCGACCAGCCAGCAACAAAAAAATCGGAGACCGACAAACGGCGGCAGGACACAAATCCTTTCACAGGCCTGCCGAATATGCGCTCCTGCGAAAAAGTTAAAACAAAGACATTGCAACCATTTACATTCCTATTGTTTGCCTCTGCGGCAGATACATGTTTGCAAAAAAATAAAGATAGTTACATACAGACATACTATAGATACACATAGAAACGGTAAGTTTCATAACTGGAAGTGTGCTTAAAAATAAAAGAAAACAAGGGTATAAATATACACATTAGCAAATTTATAAAAGTCAATGTCGCATTCTTTAATTTGGCAAAAACTGCAGAAAATATTTATATTTTATAATGGCTTAATTTAATGGGTATTTCGGTAGAGTTTTTATTTTCGTGACGTTGTGTGCATTTTCCTATAAATTCAGCTGGGAATCGAGTGCGGAATTGCTAAAGAACCGGCCACACAAAGTAAGCGATGACTTATAAGACTTAAGTCATTAAAAAATTTGAAATTGTATTTAGAAATAATAAAACAACAAAATAATAAACATCATAACATTTGTTATCCAATCGTCCAAATGAAATTTTTGAACAACACTTTTTGGACAATTACTTACGTTTAAGGGTATTAAAGAATCATGCAAGCGTTGAAATTTTCCTGGATTTTCGATGTTGCCTTTGGGGTTTTTCTTGGTGTTGTCGGCAGCAGGAAGCATTTTGCATGAATTGCCCATAAAAATGATATGCACATCAAGATTGTCCGATGTGACTGCTGCGATAAGTGTAAAAATTTGCTTACTAGCACTGCTCACACTTTGGGAATTCCTGGAAACTTAAATGATGGAACATTCCTCACTCATAACTCCACACGGCTAATCAAGATGAACGGCACTTGGCTAGACATTTAATTCGGCAACTGCAGCTAAAAGGTTTCCATCAGTGCCAGGAACGTCCTCCTCCCATTAACCATTGGTTAACCCACCTTTTAACCACCGCTCCATTAGCCATCACCCATTAGACACCACTCATTATACGCTGGCGTTTGGGTCCTATTACTACTATTACTGCACAGAGAAAAATAAGTTATCAGAGCTTTCTGAATTTCAGCGCTCTGCAATTTATTCCATCTGCAAAAATTGTTTTATTTTACGAAGATCCTTAGCTATGCAAATATCAGGGTTTCGGTGACTTTTTTATTGCTCATATTCCGATTTTAATCTGGAGTATTTTGGATTAACTTTTGTTGTGTGTTTACTTACATAAACTTAACTGATTAAAACTGAGATAAAAACAAATGAACTGTTTTCTCTCACTGAGCAAAACCCTCCACATCCTGGCATATTAATAGTCCACATTCCATTTTCTTTCGTCCCCATTTCCCCATTTCCCAGATGTCATATGTCAGGAGGCAGCAATATCACGAGCTGATGACTGCGTTATGATTACTGTCAGCGGCAGGCACTCAATGAATAAGCAGATGAGAGAGTGTCAGCCTGTTACTTTGGCGTCCTTGTGGGCTTATCACGCACTTTCCGCCCACTCGCACCACCCACTCACACCACCCATTCGAACCAACCACCCGCACCACCCACTTCACGTGACTTGAGGTGCCCCGCAGCGTCAACAACTTTGACTCGGCAACAATTTATCACAGCCAATTTAACCACTTAAGTGCGAAAAAGGTTTCAGCAGACTGAACTCTGCGTGGCCCAAAAGTGAAGTGAAGTGCATATGGACCAAGGAATGGAATGAGTTTCATCCTGGAATCTGGCCACTGACCGCCGAATGCATCTGTGTGCCTGCCGGCGGCATTTATTTGTTTACAATCTGTTTGCGCAAAAGCCGCCGAGGGGCTTAAAAATCTGCATTTGCATTCTGACACCGGCCAGAAATTCTGACCGAGAAGGCAGGAGTGAAGGTCCTTGCTTGCATTCACGGACCAGTGGCGGATCCACGGGGGGGGTTTTCGGGTCCGGACCCCCCCCATGGGATCATATACTTTCAAATTTTATGCTTTTATTGGGCATGTTGGTGCAGTTGAAACACAAAGTTATTAATAAAAATTCGTAATTTTTTGAATGTTTTACACAAATTTTAATTTATTTTCGAATAATAAATCAAGAAAAAATATTATATATGATCCACAAACGGTTCTAGTCACTCTTAAATTTCCGAGGTTTTTCAAAAAACTTTCTGAGAATTTCGTCTTCAGTCAAAGTTATGCGATGATGAATGTTCAAAGATGCAAGACCATTGAGACGCTCTTGACCCATCGTGTTTCTCAGATAATCTTTCATTCTCCTCAAAGTCGAAAATGATCGTTCTGGAGTTGCTGTGGTAACGGGTACCACCGCCAAAACCCGTTGGGACAGTTTTAGATCAACCAAAACATATATTTCTAGCAATAGGCTTTGGGTCATATTCTTGGTTGAATCTAAATCGATTCCATTTAGCCAAGTTATTGGCACTTTTCACCAAACTTTCTTTGTAATTTGTTAAATATATATTAACATTCATGATACCGGCAATAAAAACTTAGTTCCCGGCCCCGGATGCAGCCATATAAGCCCAAACCATGACATGGTCACCGCCGTGCCAATGCATTGCTTTTAACTTTTTAGTTTCCATCTTCGTATTGGAACATCTCCTCACTTAGCGTCTTCCAACCAACCCAAAATAATTAAAAATTGATTCGTCTGCTTAAATTTCGTCGTTCCAGAAATAAATCGGCCGAATTTCTAACACCATGGCGAACTTGACCCAAGGCATCATATTTGTATACTTTTGAATATATTTTTTCATGCAACTTGATCATTAAAGTTATGGTGGTGCAATATGTTCCGAACTGTATTTGGGTGAAATTTATTGACAATTTCGATCTCAATCTGCGCAGCAATTTTTGAAACCGATAGCTTGAGGTGTTCCTTAGTTTTCCGGACAAAACAGCGCTTCTCGAGATCGTTGAATATTTGGTTTGGTGCAACCCGGCTCTTTTTTGTAGCCCTTTCTTGATCTAGAACTGTCCCAATGGGATTAATACGCCAACACAGTCTCCAGACTTAAATTTTATTGAACAATTGTTGAAAATTTTGGACTTGGAGATTCGAAAAAGTGGATTTTCCAACGAAAATGACCTGAAG